TCAGCCTCACTCACAATGAGAGAGATTAAATCTCCAGGAGATGCCCTTTCCCAGCTGCCTGGGATGAGGGGTAGGTGTGCCCCCTGCCATGGGCAGGTGAGGCGGGTATCTGGGCAGGACACGGATGAGTGCTTATCAGGCCCTGCCCTGCTCAGAGGTGCGTGTCCAATGCTGACGGACACAGAGGTTGGAATAGCATGCCTGTCTGTCCACATTGTGTGTGTATATGTGTGTGCGTGTATATGTGTGTAGTGTGTGCATGTCTGTGTATATGTGTGTGTGTGTGTGGGTTTGTGTATGTGTGTGGGTTTGTGTATGTGTGTGTGTGTGTATTTTCTCTCAATGGGTAAAAATTTCAGATCACTTTTTCTGTGGGTTTTCAGGGCTTCCTTCCAAGAAGGAGCATCTGGTCAGAGGTCAGCCTGTGTCTTACCCACCCTTTGCCCAAATCATTACGGTTTTCTAGTAACCGTTAAGGACTGTGGCAGAGGATTAGGACTCTGAGTCCCAAAGGGCAGAGTTTTGTTGCTGTCGTCGTTAAGGGTCACCTGGCTCCTTGGCACCTTCCTGCCCCCCTGGTCCCACAGCTGCCAGAGACAACTGTGATCTGAGACCCACCGTGAACGTCTACTCTGGGGAGATGTCACTGGCCACAGCCGGCCCTGGACCTGATGACTCTGCAGTGCTGGCCTCTTCAGAGCGGCCCCTGACCAGTGGTCACCAGACGTGGGCCCCTGGAGCCTGGCCGGGGCAGGAGGCACAGGTTTCTGGGGAACAGCTGCTGGGGCTGTCAGGGCCGCCCTCCACACAGCTTATGTGGGGTTCATTGGGGCTTTTGAGGTGCAGTAGCGGAAGCCACATGCAGCCTGGGAGAAGTACAGCCTCATAGCGGCCCAGCAAGCAGGGGACTCAGGCTGTACCGTGGTTCTGGCTCTCAGCGGACTTTCTAACTCAGCTCCCAGATGCCAAGCGGCAGGAGGGAGATAGAGGACATGCCGCCATCTGTGGGCTCCGTGAGGCCCTGGGAGGAGAGGTGAGAGCCCAGGCCTTTCTATGACGCCATCACTCCGAGGGACCAGCACAGACTCCCGGGTCCAGGCCTGCTGAGCTAGGCATCCGGGTGGGGCCTGGGGCCCACAGGGAGGGCTCCGGGCCAGGCTGAGGGGTAGGAGCAGGCTGTGAAGGAAGAGATGCATCCCTCCGTCCCCAGTGGGTGGCCGGCTGGGCACTTGCGTGCAGGGAGCAGGTGAGGCCAGGCCCAGGCTCTTGGGCTCCTGCGTGTCTCCCCGTCAGGGACCCTCCCATGCTGGGCTTGGAGGGCCCTGCAGGGGTCGAGAGCCTGCAGGCCTCAGGGAGGCCAAGCTCAGGCCTCCCGCTGACAAGCAGGGCGGGGCCAGAGGGTTTCCAGGAAGCGCGGCCCCCACTCCGGCCCCCCTCCCTGAGTTCACAGGCAGCATCCTGTGTGGGCACCTCAGGCCGTGCAGCCGGTGGCCCCTCTGTGGGTTGGGAACCGTTTCCCGTGGAAACAATGAGGCACCAGCCTCCTGGCCTCTGAGATCATCTTTGAAAGTGGGACCCCACCACAGGCTTCCTGGGTGGCTGCCCTCACTGGCCTCCCGTGAAAACCATCAGAGGAAGAAGCGGGACCTTGTCCTGACATCCAGATGACCCGCTGCTGCTGCGGTGCCTGATCCCAGGAGGACTGCGGGCTCCTGAGGGGCCCCCAGCGGGTCCTTAGGGCCTCGGGGCCCATTCTGCTCCACTGGCTGAGACCTGAGGCTCCCTGGGCCACAGAGCAGGGCCCACGCCTGCCCCACTGCACCTCAGCCCGACCTGGGGAGGACTGTCCTGGGGAAGACAGGCAGACTTTCCGAGAGCCAGTGTCTAGCCCCTAAATGTTCTCAGGTCGCCAGTGAGGAGACAGGCTGAGGACAGGGTGTGGGGCTCCTGGACCAGAACCCAGGTCCTAGGTGGCTGGTGTGCATCAGCCAGGCTCAGTTTGCTGGCCGGACCCTTGTGGATCACACCCTGTGCTCTGTCTCCCCTGACCCCGCTGCCCTTGGGTCCTCGCATCTCAGGAGACAATCCTTAGAATACAAAAGAAGACTTTTTAATAAACAGAACTTAGTTTTTCAGTCACACAGTCGTGTCCGACTCTTTACCACCCCGTGGACGGTAGCACACCAGGCCTCTCTGTCCATCACCACCTCCTGGAGTTTACTCAAACTCATGTCCATTGAGTCAGTGATGCCAAACAACCATCTCATCCTCTGTTGTCCCCTTCTCCTCCTGCCTTCAATCTTTCCCAGCATCAGAGTCTTTTCCAATGAGTCAGCTCTTCTCATAAGCTGGCCAAAGTATTGGAGTTTTAGCTTCAGCATCAGTCCTTCCAATGAATACTTAGGCTTGATTTCCTTTAGGGTTGACTGGTTTAATCTCCTTTCTGTCCAAGGGACTCTCAAGAGTCTTCTCCAACACCAAAGTTCAAAAGCATCAATTCTTCAGCACTCAGCTTTCTTTACAGTCCAACTCTCACATCCATACATGACTACTGGAAAAACCATAGCATTGACTATATGGATCACTGTAGGCAAAGTAATCTCTTTGCTTTTTCATACACTGCCTAGGTTTGTCATAGCTTTCCTTCCAAGAAGCAAGCATCCTTTAATTTCATGGCTGCAATCACCGACCTCAGTAATTTTGGAGCCCAAGAAAACAAAGTTTGTCCTTGTTTCCATTGTTTCCCCATCTATTTGCCATGAAGTGATGGGACTAGATGCCATGATTTAGTTTTTCAAATGTTGGGTTTTAAGCCAGCTTTTTCACTCTCCTCATTCACCTCATTTCATTCACCCTCAGCAAGTGGCTCTTCAGTTCTTCTTCATTTTCTTCCATGAGGGTGGTGTCATCTGCATATCTGAGGTGATTGATATTCCTCCTAGCAATCTTGAATCCAGCTTGTGATTCATCCAGCCTAGCATTTTGAATGATGTAATCTGCATATACTTTAAATAAGCAGGGTGACAATATACAGCCTCCATGTACTCCTTTCCCAATTTTGAACCAGTCTGTTGTTCTGTGTGGCTGGTTCTAACTGTTGCTTCTTGATGTGTATACAGGTTCTGCAAGAGGTAGGTAAGGTGGTCTGGTATTCCCATCTCTTTAAGAAATTTTGTTTGCTGTGATCCACACTAGTTTGTTGTGATCCACACAATCAAAGGCTCTGGTGTAATCAATGAAGCTGAAGTAGATGGTTTTCTGGAATTCTCTTGCTTTTTCTATGATGGATGTTGACAATTTGATCTCTGGTTCCTCTGCCTTTTCTAAAGTCAGCTGGTACATCTGGAAGTTTTCCGTTCATATACTGTTGAAGCCTAGCTTGGAGAATTTTGAACATTACTTTGCTAGCATGTGAGATGAGTGCAATTGTGTGGTAGTTGGAACAGTCTTTGGCATTGTCTTTCTTTGGGACTGGAATGAAAACTGACCTTTTCCAGTGCTGTGGCCACTGCTGAGTTTTCCAAATTTGCTGGCATATTGAGTACAGCACTTTCATAGCATCATCTTTTAGGATTTGAAATAGCTCAGCTGGAATTCCATCACCTTCACTAGCTTTGTTTATAGTGATGGCCACTTGACTTCACATTCCAGGATATCTGGCTCTAGGTGAGTGCTCACACCATTGTGGTTATCTAGGTCATTAAGATATTTTTTGTACAGTTCTTCTGTGTATTATTGCCACCTCTTCTTAATATCTTCTGCTTCTGTTAGGTCCATACCATTTCTGTCCTTTATTGTGCCCATCTTTGCATGAAATGTTCCCATGGTATCTCTAATTTTCTTGAAGAGATCTCTAGTCTTTCGCTTTCTATTGTTTTCCTCTATTTCTTTGCACTGATCACTGAAGAAGGCTTTCTTGTCTCTCCTTGCTATTCTTTGGAACTCTGTGTTCAGATGGGTGTATCTTTCCTTTTCTCCTTGCCTTTCACTTCTCTTTTCTGAGATATTTGCAAGGCCTCCTCAGATAACCATTTTGCCTTTTTGCATTTCTTTTTCTTGGGGATGGTTTTGATCACTGTCTCCTGTATAATGTTACAAACCTCCGTCCATAGTTCTTCAGGCACTCTATCAGATCCAATCTCCTGAATCTATTTCTCACTTCCATTGTATAATCATAAGGGATTTGATTTAGGTCATACCTGAATGGTCTAGTGGTTTTCCCTTCTTTTTTCAATTAAAGTCGAATTTTGAAGGAGTTTATGATCTGAACATAAGTGAAAAAGAGAACTATCTCAAACACCCATCTCTTCTGTCAATATTCCAACTATTTTGAAATCAGACTTAACACAGGATTCTTGCCACATTTTCCTTGGAGTCTTAAAATAAAACAAAGGAGAAGTGGCCCCAGTAGTGTGACCTCCCTTGAGGTCCTGGCAGGGCTGACAGGCGAGGGGGTCGAGGGGCCTGACTGTTGGTGGGGGGACCTTTGGGGTCCTGCTGTCCCCAAGCACGTGACTGTTGTGGTGGGGGTGATTGCGGCTGGGGCGCCCTGGAGCGCCTGGCCTTATAGGCTGTCTTCCTGGGGGGCAGGGAGGATGTCCTGCATGGGACGCTCCCATGAAGACACAGCAGGGCTTCAGGCAGGGTGGGGGTCCAGGGCACCAGATACAGCATGGGAGTGAGGTCAGAGGGGGTTTGTGGGGCCTGGGGCGTGGGAGCCTGCGCTCTGCTCACCTGGCCTCTGTCAAAGCAGCCATGCAGCCCCTCCAGCCTGACTCTAGTATGGGGACTCCCTGCAGAAGGGGGCCATTTTCTGAGCAGGAGACAGGGAGACCTCTGAGGAGGGTGTCCCAGGGCCGGGTGGACTGGCAGGGCCTCCCAGCCACACAAGCAGGGGCGGGAGGGAGGTGGCCACAGCCCCGGGTGGGGGGCCTTGTTTCCCAAGCTCAGGTCCTCTCCGTGGAGCCAGGCTGGCCCCCTGACTTCCGCTCCCCCCACAGGCTTCCACCTGTCCCACAAGGTCACCAGTGTGGTCCCTGAGAGTGCCCTGCTCATCGTACTGGGCCTGGTGCTGGGCGGCATCGTCCTGGCGGCCGACCACATCGCCTCCTTCTCCCTCACGCCCACGGTGTTCTTCTTCTACCTGCTGCCGCCCATTGTGCTGGACGCTGGCTACTTCATGCCCAACCGGCTCTTTTTTGGCAACCTGGGCACCATCCTGCTGTATGCGGTCATTGGCACTGTGTGGAACGCGGCCACCACTGGGCTGTCGCTCTACGGTGTCTTCCTCAGTGGCCTGATGGGTGAGTGGGCACAGCCACCCCCCGGGGGGTGGGGGGCTCATGGAGGGTCCCAGGGGTCCTCGGGGCAGGCTCCCAGCAGCTGCGTCTAAGAAAGCACAAGACAAAGAACACAGACCTAAAAGGAGAGTGAGTGTGGGAGTCATCCAGAGATGTCACCAGTGGCCACTTAACCCTCCTGGGTTTTAATTCATCAACAGCCAGTCCACGCCCGTCCTCAGGCCGAGACATGTGTCCTGCTTGGGAATGAAGTCTGGTCCGACCAGGTTGGCTGGTGGGTGGGGCGGTGGGAACGAGCCGGCTGCTGTCCCGCCCCCTTGGCAGGGAGGTCGGGTCCAGCCTCAGATCCCAGGGAAGGAGGAGGCGGCCTCTGGCAGAAGGCAATACCTGAGCCCCATGCCCATGGAGCCCAGGTAAACCTGTCCCCATGCCGAAGGTTGGGTGTTGTATCTAATCAACCTGGCGGGGAGAAGGCAGGCCAGCCTCTCCTCCATCACATGGGATCTGTGTCTATGGCTCTTCCCCCTGCCCATGTTTCCTGCCAGTTAGTTACTAACCTCAGCCCTGGCATACCTCTGAGGTGCACCCCACCCACCTGGGAGTCGGTCATTATCCACCCGGGAAACGAGCAGGTGGGGCCCTGCTCACCGAGGCCGCACATACATGCTGGATGGCATGGCCCTGAACTCAGCCTGGTTCCCGTGTGCCTCTGGGCTCCACGGGCTGAGCTCCCGGTGTTGGGGGTGACGAGGGAGGTGAGGGTGCTTCCACCTCCCTGGGCAGCAGTCTCGGCTCAGCTTCGGCCTCAAACACTTCCATCAGTTGAACCAGACAAGGGGCAGGCCCTCTGACAGAAGAGCATGCACCCACAAGCCCCCCAGTGGGGCTCACGACCTCCCTTGAAATCACAGTGTCAAAGACACATTGAGAAACAGGGCTAAGGCACCCTATCTGCAGGAGTCACCTAGGACTTTGTCCTCACCCCTGGGCAGTGCGGGCGTCCTCAAGTCCCCACAGCCATTCAGCACCAACCCCAAGCTCAGCCCTGGAAGCCCCCCAAGGCTGGCATGGCACCAAACACACCTGGCCAGTTCTCCCCAATGCGTGGGCCGCAGGGGCCAGGCAGGTGATGTTAAGAGTGCCATTCCCAGCGGTGCCCTCAGGTAGTTGGGACAGTCTCAGGCCACTTCTGCCCCCAGGCCCAAAGGAACGTTCTGGGGTTTGGCTCCCTGAGGGGCCACAGCCGTCTGAGGCCTGTGCTCCGTCCTTGGGATGGAGTGGTCACGGCTGGGTGTCAGCCAAGGTCATGGAGCAGGGCAGCGCCCAGGGGATACCTGGAGGCCGGCCCTGCAGCCGGCAGACAGGGATGGTCTCTGCTGACCGTCAGCCCAGCTCCAGGCTCTGAGGTCTGCCCCAAGTCTGGGACACACCGCCAAGGAAGGGTCAGCCTGGGTGGCCACAGGTGGGCCAGGGGGCGGCCGTCCCGGGGGCATCTGGGCACAGCAACCTAGCACCCAGAAACTCCCGGCCACCAAGAGACCCTGTGGGTGGGCGAGGCCGCAGTGGGGGAGGGTCCCGGAACACGCAGTCTGGCAGCCATGAGCCCACGGTCCCGTCCCTGGGACCTCCCTGGCAGGGCCAGCGCGGGGAGGATTGGCCCTCCGGGGAGGAGGGCCCCCCGCAATGGCCCACTCGTCTTCCAGGAGACCTGAACATCGGGCTACTGGACTTCCTCCTGTTCGGCAGCCTGATAGCCGCCGTGGACCCAGTGGCCGTGCTGGCTGTGTTTGAGGAGGTGCATGTCAACGAGGTGCTGTTCATCATCGTCTTCGGGGAGTCCCTGCTCAATGACGCCGTCACCGTGGTGAGTGCCCGGCAGGAGGCACCTCCCAGTCCTGCTCCAGGGCCTCACTGCTGGCATCCCAGCTTCGGCTACAGGCTGGGTCCCCGCCCTTGACCGTGGAGTCGTGGGTGATCACGGTGTCATGGGGATCGAGGAGGAGAGCTCAGCCAGGCCCAGTGTGTCCGTGGCCTGAGGGCTGGGGGTCCACGTCGGCCCTGGGTAGCCCGGAGAGAAGGGCGGCCTGTCCAGATATCAGAGGCCATCCTCCCCATGCCAGCCATGGGCTCTGGGGAACTGCAGTCCCGGGGCCATCACGGAGCCATCGCCTCCCTAGGGCTGGTCAGTGGTGTGTCTGAGCACCCGCCTGGGGTCTCCTCAGCCCTGCAGGTTCGCAGATGTAGTGGACATCCAGTCTCCTCTTTGCTGTAAAAGCCCTTTAGCCTCCATGTCCCATAAATGTGTGAACTTCTGCCCAAGCCAGGAAGCTCCTCCCTGGCTCCTGTGAGGCTCGTCTTCCTTACGACGGAGGAAGCGGGAGAAGCAGGGCGCTGTGCTCTGCTCCCCCGACCTTCACAGCTGCGCCCATCCCTCCCACACAGTCTCCGTGCAGCAACACCACCAGGTTTCCTTCCATAAACACAGCTTTGCGATCTGCCCCATGAGGGCCTTCTTCCCCACTGGAGAGCACAGACCTGGGGACACAGAAACATTACTTCCCAAGGGCCCCACAGCCCCCCAACCGGGGTCACCCCCAGGCCCCTCCCCTGGACACGGAGCCAGCGCATCCTTCAGGAGCTTCGCTCAGAGCGCAGCAGGCACCTCCCACACACACAGCCCCGCAGCCTCGGGTGAGGCGTTAGGCATTTATCACCACGTCATAGCAGGATGAGGTTTAAATGTCAACAGGCAAAGATGCCAGGGGTGCCTCCCCACAGACAGGGGCCACATAACGGCAAAGTCACTGCAAATGAAACTCTGGGTGTGTCTTAGGAAATGAACTAAGGATCACTACAGCAGGCCAGCTTTGTGGCCACCCTGCTTCACCGCGGGCGGGAAGGCCAGGTTTTCTCTGAGGGTTCTTGTTCCTCCCAGACTGTCCTTCTGCCCCAGACCCCACACTACTGCCCCAGATGAGTTTCCCCCGGTGGTTTTCACTTTCCCTTCAGATTGCTGCCATGGTCTCCTCACTCGGCCCAAGTCTCACAAGGCCTGGGGCCCGAGACTCAAGTCTGAACAGGCCTGGTGCCCAAGACGGGGAGGAGTCAGTGCTGACCGCAGGCTGGCGATGTCCTGTCTGTCTCTGTCCCCACAGGTCCTGTACAATGTGTTTGAATCTTTTGTGACGTTGGGTGGCGACAAGGTGACCGGCGTGGACTGCGTGAAAGGAATAGGTGTGTGGCTGGCGGGTCGTGTTCCAGCGGGGAGCCAGGGCCAGTGTCTTCTCTGGAGCATGGACCCCGCAGGGCAGCATCTGTGCCAGGCTGGAACCCACAGCCTGTGCAGGGAAACATTCTTCCATTTCAAAATCTTGGTGACAGGCCCCCTCCCTCCCCGGCAGGTCCCACTAATGTGATTTTCCAGGCCCCAGCCACCCTGGGCGGCGAGGATCATTGCCCCCACAGACCTACGGGAGGATGGGGATCCTGTATCCGGGGTCCTGGGCATCCCTCTGGGCAGGAACAGTTACAGATAGCATTCCTGGGAGCCCAGAGTCTGGTCCTTGCTGTCAACCCCCCACCAATGCTGCTGGTCTCAGCGCTGCCCCCGCGGCGGGGCAGCCGGGCCTCCCTTGGCGCAGCACTCTCCCCTCCCTGTGGAGGCCAGAGCCTCTGTCTGCCTAGAGAATCAGCCTCTTGTTTGCCGAGCTGCTGGTGCCTCTGGGGTCACCCGGGACCTCAATGGGGAATGGTCAGTCAGGCCAGCTCGCCCACGCCGCGGCCATAGAGGGCCGCTCAGAGGCCAGTGGCACTCCTTGTCCTTGCAGTGTCCTTCTTCGTGGTGAGCCTGGGGGGCACGCTGGTGGGCATCGTGTTTGCCTTCCTGCTCTCCCTGGTGACACGCTTCACCAAGCGCGTGCGCATCATCGAGCCCGGCTTCGTGTTTGTCCTCTCCTACCTGTCCTATCTCACGTCCGAGATGCTGTCCCTGTCGGCCATTCTGGCGTGAGTCCTCCCTCACTGGTCGCTCACCCACCAGCCCCCGCGCACCCGGCAGACCCGCCCAGGGGAGGCCTGGCACTTTGGGCGGGGCGGGAACTTGCTATGGGGGAGAAGAATTTGATCTATTTAGTCTTTTAATTAAGGAGTTGGCGTCTCACAGAGCTGCCCAGGGGCTGCAGCGCCTGCTCTGTCCCCAAGCAGCCCCTCCCAGGGCTCTGACCCTCAGAGCTGCCCCCTCAGTGTGTGGACAGAAACCAAGGCAGCCCCCTCTCCTCCAGTGTGGGACCCAGGCCCCCAGAAGCCCACAGACAGTGTCAGGGTAGCCAGCCCAGGGCACCAAGCCCCAGGAGGAGCCCTGTGCTCACAAGGAGTGCTGATGAGTAGCGGGGGATGCTTGCCCAGGATCCAGGGGCTCCAAGGTGCTGCCTTCCAGGGGATAGGTTTGAGCCCCACGGGGTCTGGTGGGAGCTGAGCCCTGGCCTGAGCCCTCATGGTGGGCTGTCCTGTGTGCCAGCATCACCTTCTGTGGCATCTGCTGCCAGAAGTACGTAAAGGCCAACATCTCAGAACAGTCAGCCACCACGGTGCGCTACACCATGAAGATGCTGGCCAGCGGGGCTGAGACCATCATTTTCATGTTCCTGGGCATCTCGGCTGTGGACCCTCTCATCTGGAAGTGGAACACAGCCTTCGTGCTCCTGACACTGCTCTTCATCTCCGTGTACAGGGCCATAGGTGAGGGTGTGGGGAGCATGGGGGGTGACACAAGGACAATGTAGAATGATGGGGGGATGATGAGGATGAAGGGCAGATAAGGGGACAATGGAGGATGACGGGGGTGGTGGGGATGATGAGGGGGATGGGGATGAGGGGATGAGGGGGATGAGGGGACGATGGAGGATGATGGGGACAAGGGGGATGAGGGGGAACAAGGGGACGATGGAGGGTCATGGGGATGATGGAGATGAGGGGGATGAGGAGGATGAGGGGGGCTGAGGGGGGCTGAGGGGGAACAAGGGGACGATGGAGGGTGATGGGGTGGTGGGGATGATGGGGATAAAGGGGAATGAGAGGACAATGGAGGATGATAGAGGTAGAGGTAGTGGGGATGATGGGGATGAGGGGGCAGTGGGGATGATGGGGGATGAGGGGACAATAGAGGATGATGGGGATGAGGGGGATGATGGGGATGGGGGGTGATGGGGATGGGGGGTGATGGGGATGAGGGGATGATGGAGAATGATGGGGATGAGGGGACAATGGAGGGTGATGGGGATGAGAGGGATGAGGGGACAATGGAAGGTGACGGGGATGAGGATGGAGGATGATGGGGATGAGGGGATGATGGAGAGTGATGTGGATGAGGATGGCTGAGGGGATGGTGGAGGATGACAGAGGGGTGAGGGGACATAGTCAGCCAACAGCAGGGATTGGCAGCAGGGAGTCTGAAGAACCAGGGACACACATTGGCCCCTGGCCACCAGCCCTATAGCACAGTGAATGACAGGTTCGAGACCTTGGGGAACCTAAGGCTGGCCAGGACATTGGTCACCCTCAGTGAAGGGACAGGCCTTCTCACACTCTTATAGCCTCATTACTGAAATAAGACGACCTTGAGGTACATGTGGAAGGTTCCAGAATCCAGGGGAACCCATGTGGCTTCCCACTGACTTACTTTGGATGTGGTCACTTGGGGCTACTATCAGTCACCATGGCACATGAGAGGCAGGAGCCCCTGGGGCCCCACCTAGCCCTGGTCACTAGTCCCTGGTATGCAGTGCTGACCCAGGGCTGGGGAGGGGAGAAGGCAGTTGGATGATCCCCACCTGCTCTGCCTGCAGTCACTGGACTGAGGGCTCAGGGAAACAGAGGCCCTGCGGTTGGGTGGCATCTTGTCCTGGAGCTGCTGGGCAGTCACATGTGTGGTCACACTGAGACTTAGGAATTTCCAGAGCGGCTGGAGCACAGCTTGGGGGTGCAGAGGCAGGCAGGGGCCCAGAGAGCTCCAAAGAGGACGAGGGACCTGTGGGTGGGGCTACAGTGGTGCCTCCTGGTCCCGCTCTCTAGCTCTCTTGCTTGCTCACTCGTGGGAGGAGGCAGTTTCCCAGTGACTCCTCCCCCACTGCGGCTGCAAGGGGTGCTGGCAGGGACAGAGGGGCTGCATCTCCCCCCAACTGCTGAGTGCACGCTGCACCCCACAGGGGTCATCCTGCAGACCTGGATTCTGAATCGGTACCGGATGGTGCAGCTGGAGATCATAGACCAGGTGGTCATGTCCTACGGTGGCCTCCGAGGAGCTGTGGCTTACGCCCTGGTGGTCCTCCTGGACGAGAACAAGGTCAAGGAGAAGAACCTGTTTGTCAGCACCACCATCATCGTCATCTTCTTCACCGTCATCTTCCAGGTACGGGTGGTGGTGGGGCCTCACCCTCCCAGGCGCCAGGCCTAACTGGGTTGATAATTTTAGTAACTAGGTGCAGTTTAGTAGATTTTCATGTGGCCCCACAAGGGTTGCTGCACGATTTGGCCTAGAAACCTCCTTCCTTGGCTGTTGCTGTTAACAAAGCCCCAGTTAATGTTTCATTGACCAGGAAGGAAAGGGCCCCGCTTTGCCTGGCTCTTGGATACTCTTAAGGAGTTGGCCAGGGGTGTCCAAGGATGTCCAGTGACCTGCAGGTGGCAGGGCTTCCTCTGCCGGGAGGTGGGCACAGATGACCTGGGTCCTGGCCAAGGGGTGGCCCCTTCTGCCCCACTGGGGTAGGTGGGCTCGGGATCAGTGGGCCACAGTGGGGTGTGGGTCTGGGGTGAGGCCTGGCCCAGCCTCAGGGTCAGGGTGCCTATCTTCCAGGGCCTGACCATTAAGCCCCTGGTGCAGTGGCTGAAGGTGAAGAGAAGTGAACAGCGAGACCCCAAGCTCAACGAGAAGCTGCACGGCCGGGTAGGGGGAAGGGCCAAGGTAGGAGGGAGGAGGACGAAGGGGCCGTCCAGGTGACTCTGACCCACTTGCCTCTCCTCCCAAAGGCTTTCGACCACATCCTCTCGGCCATCGAGGACATATCAGGGCAAATCGGACACAATTATCTGAGAGATAAGTGAGTGGCTGCAGTGGCCCCTGACAAACTGAAACAGGAAAATTCAGAGGCACGTTCATTTCAGTTGTTAGTCCCCTTCTTCTTTAACCAGCGACTGTAGGACCCACAAGCTATAGAGTGAATCTCTGGCATCACCATGACCCTTCCCCACTGAGCCCCAGTGACCTCAGAATACTGCCCTCAGAGGACCCAGAGCCACTCACCACCTTGTTCAGATCCCCGCTTCTCCCCTCCTGCCCCTGGAGGCCCCCCAAGCCCCTTCTCCTAGAATACTTCTGCTTCTCCTCCTGGGACCCCCATTCTGCCTTCCTGCCCCTGAAGCCCGTTAAGCCCCTTCTCCTAGAATCCTCCTACTTCTCCTCCTGGGACCCCTTTCCCCCTTTATATCCCCTCCTCCTCCTGGAATCCCCCTCCTTCCCCCATCTTCCTAGAGAGTTATGAGGAAATCTGCATGACCACATTACAGGAGAAGGTTATGCTCACTTTCACGCACACATGACTCTGCCGTCGGACAGGAAGGTAGAGCGGCCACAGGGCCGTGAGGCGGCATTCAGCGGCACATGGAGGGTCATCTCTTTCACTTCAAAGCTCGCCTGTGTGGCTGTCACAGTAAATGGAAACTGAGTGTCCCATCCAGTGGCTACACGCTGTGTCCATCGCAAGTCTGGATGTTCCCAGGGTTCCATCCCAGGGCTTCACCCAGACCCTGCCAAGTGCCGACCACTATTGGTTTGACCCACCCGTCCTCGCAGGTGGTCCAATTTTGATAGGAAATTCCTCAGCAAAATCCTCATGAGAAGGTCGGCTCAGAAGTCTCGTGATCGGATTCTGAACGTTTTCCACGAGCTCAACTTGAAGGATGCCATCAGCTACGTAGCCGAGGTACTAGCCGTCTTGTCTGCTCTTTTGTAGGAGTGTGGGGAGAGGGGGGCAAGAGGCGAGACAGACCCGCGTGTGGACAGTGCTGGATCTGCACCCTGAGGCTCGGGCTGGGGTGGGGGCAGCTGGTGGGAGACACACGGTCTTCTCGCTGCCTCAGCCGTGGTTCACCTGAGCTCACGGGCCCTCAGGCACCCTGAAAGTGGGGTTCACCACAGCTCCAGCTCTGCAGTGCTGGGTCTGAGGTCACAGACCCCAGTGAACACAAGCTCCTGGCTCCAGCCAGGGCAAGGCCATGGGTGGAAGGCCTGTCTTCTGCACCTCCGACCAGCTGAGGAAGTTCAGAGCAGGAATCCCGGCCCCTCTGACCGCGAGCCTTTGAGGCCTCGCTGCCTCCCTGGGGCTGGGAAGGTGGGTGGTGACCCCTGCTGGCTGCATCCTCCCTGGGGACCCTCTATGGCCCCCAGTCCCCACTGGTGACCGGCTCCCAGCAGGGCACCACCTCCCTTCCCCTCGCTGCCTGCCACCGTGGTGCCTATGACGCAGGCCTGTGGGCTCCTCTGCACTGCGGTTGTGCCTGTGAGCAACGCCCGCAGCACCAGCTCTGCCATAGCAGGTTGGCCCCCACCCGGCTGCCCTTCCCAGCTCCAACCTTTCCCCGGAGGGCCAGCTGCTCTAGGGCACCTCACTCGGCAGTGTGACCTCCATGCCTGTGGACTCTGCTCTGCCTGGTTTTCATCTGACTCTGGAGGCTGGGGTTTCTCTTCTGGGGAAAACTAGGGCAGCTGGTTTGGAGCCCCCGTGGGGATGGGGCCTCTTCCCCCATCCCGTGGGGATTCCCCATGCTCCCCGAGGCACCAGGTCCTTTGCACAAGCCTCTGTGAGCCTCCAGCGGGGCCTCCACCGTCGTTTCTGGGGTCTTGGCTCTCCCAGGTGCCTCGGGGTCAGTGCACAGCACCCTGGGACAGGGCTCCCTGGGGCCAGGCCAGTGACTGACAAGGCCACCTCCTCCCACAGGGAGAGCGCCGTGGGTCCCTGGCCTTCATCCGTTCCCCCAGCACGGACAACATGGTCAACGTGGACTTCAGCACCCCACGCCCCTCCACTGTGGAGGCCTCCGTCTCCTACCTCCTGTAGGTCCCCAGGGCTGCTGTGGGCCAAGCTCTCCCCAGGCTCCCTGTGACCTGCCACAGGCACGGCCAGTGGGCCTCTTGGGGCTGCCCAAATGGGAAACAGGGCCAGAGCTGATGGCGTCTATCACCTGTCGTGTCGGTCGGCTGGCTGGAGTGAGGCAGTGAGCCAGGGTCCAGCAGCCCGCTTAAGGAGCGCCCCCTCCCCCACCACCAAAGACAGGGGCGCTGGTCCCCAATTCCAGGCATCCAGCCTCTGCCCTGCCAGTGCAGGGCGGTTCTGGGCATCACTGCTGGGGCTTTGGAAGGGCAGGCGCACTGTGGGGTCAGTCTTAAACAAGAGGCGGAGAAGGTCTCACCGGGACGACCCCAGGCCCCAGGGGTGCAGGAGGGAGGGCAGGTCGTCATGCCCACTTGCTCACCGAGGCCCCTGCAGGAGGGAGAACGTTAGTGCCGTGCGCCTGGACATGCAGTCCCTGGAGCAGCGGCGGCAGAGCATCCGGGATGCAGAGGACATGATCACCCACCACACGCTGCAGCAGTACCTGTACAAGCCCCGGCAGGAGGTGGGTGCACCCTTGCCAGAGCTGGCGCCCCACCCGTCCTGCCTCAGGGCAAAGCACATCCCTACTTAGTGCAGGTCGCTCCTGGGAGGGTGGGGGTTCAAGCCCGCATCCGGGGGCAGTCCAGGCCCTGTGGACATGACCAGCTAACCCTAATCACCGCGCCCACCCCCCGTCACCCCCCACAGTACAAACATCTCTACAGCCGGCACGGGCTGACCGCGGATGAGGACGAGAAGCAGGACACCGAGATCTTCCACAGGACCATGCGGAAGCGCCTGGAGTCCTTCAAGTCAGCCAAGCTGGGGATCAACCCCCACAAGAAGGCCGCTAAGCTGCTCAAGAGGGAGCGCGCCCAGAAGCGGGTGAGAGGGCACACTCGGGCGGGCCCCACCGAGGGGGCACCCCGGCCACAGGGCAGAGGCCTCCCTGGGGTTGACAGGCGGATCAGGCAGGACCCAGAGCTGTGAGCGGTTTCCTTCTGCTCCTCAGAGAAACAGCAGCATTCCCAATGGGAAACTGCCGATGGTGAGCTCCCTGCAGGACTTCACCATCAAGGAGAAAGGTAGGCTGGGCCATGGCTGGACGCTGATCAGCAGGAGCTGAGGGGCGCCTGAGGGTAGCCGGGTGCAGACGACTGTCCTTCCAGGAAACCCGCCCCCTCGGCACCAGGGCCCTCCTCACAGGCTGCAGCCACTCTAGGGGCAGGGCTGCGACCCGGGCTTCCCAACCCTTTCCTCTGTGCCCACCCCCTCCCCTGCCCGGGCCCCTCCTCGAGAAGACAGAGTGTGGTCCTCTCTGCCCAACCCCATCCTGGTGTGGCCAGGTGGGCACCACGGTCTACTGAGCTGCCTAGAGGCTGCTAAGTGGGGGCGGCAGACATGAGGACACCGCCGTGAGCGGTCCAGGGCAGTTGGTCAAGGGCTCAGATGAGGTCATCTGCGCCTCCAGCCTCTCCCCATACGCTGTCCCTTCCCTGTCACCAGATTTGGAACTCTCAGACACTGAGGAAGCCCCCAACTATGATGCTGAGATGAGTGGGGGGATCGAGTTCCTGGCAAACATCGCGCAGGACACAGCGACAGACTCCCCCTCAGGTGAGGGGGACGGCCCTCCACTACCCACAGGTGATCCCTGGAGGGAGGCCCAGGCGGTGGAGCGCGGTTCACGCGGCCGCACAAGTGCGGGCACAGGCGGAGGCCTCCGCTCTGAGAGAGGCGAGCGAGAGCTGGCGCAGGGCTGGCACCCCAGAGGCCCGAGACCTTCCAGGTGACCTTCCGTGTGGCCGAGGACGAGCTGCTGTCTGACCCAGGGCCGCTGCCTCCCTCTCTGCCCTTCCGGTGAGCGAGGGAAGCTGACGACCGCCGCCCTCTCTCCTAGGAATTGACAACCCCGCGTTTTCCCCGGAGGAGAGCCCCGGCATCCTCTCTGGGGTGCCGCCCTGGCTGTGTCCCGGGGAGGCGGTGGTGCCCTCCCAGAGGGCCCGCCTGCAGATCCCCCACTCCCCTGGCAACTTCCACCGCCTGGCGCCCTTCCGCCTCAGCGGCAAGTCCGTGGACTCGTTCCTGCTGGCCGACGGCCCCGAGGAGCAGCCGCATGCCGCCCCGCCCGAGTCCACACACATGTAACTGGCCCGCCGGCCCCCGCTCTGTCTCCCGCTCCTCTCGGCGCCGCCTCAGCCCCGCGCGTCGCTCTCTATCTCAGCTGCCGCCTCCGCCTCACTCTGCTCTCACCAGCCTCAGGCTCTCTCTTCCAGCCGCGATTCTTTCTTCAGGCGCACATGACTTCCTGCTTCTCCCGCGAGCGGGGGGAGGGGCGGGTCCCGCTGAGTGAGGGTCCCGCTGAGTGAGGGTGTGAGGGTCCCGCGGAGTGAGGGTCTGCTGAATGAGGGTCCCGCTATGTGAGAGTGTGAGGGTCCAGCTGTGTGAGGGTCCCGCTGTGTGAGGGTCCCCACTGAGTGAGGGTGTGAGGGTCCCTGCTATGTGAGGGTCCCCGCTGAGTGAGGGTCCCCGCCGAGTGAGGGTCCCGCGGAGTAAGTGTCCGCTGAATGAGGGTCCCGCTGTGTGAGGGTGTGAGGGTCCCCGCTGTGGGAGGGTCCCCACTGAGAGTGTGAGGGTCCGCCGAGTGAGGGTCCCCGCCGAGTGAGGGTCCCGCGGAGTAAGGGTCCGCTGAATGAGGGTCCCACTGTGTGAGGGTGTGAGGGTTCCGCTGAGTGAGGGTCCCCGCTGAGTGAGGGTGTGAGGGTCCCCGCTGTGGGAGGGTCCCCACTGAGAGTGTGAGGGTCCCGCGGAGTAAGGGTCCGCTGAATGAGGGTCCCCGCTGTGGGAGGGTCCCCACTGAGAGTGTGAGGGTTCCCACTGAGTGAGGGTGTGAGGGTCCCTGCTATGTGAGGGTCCCCGCTGTGTGAGGGGTCCCGCTGAGTGAGGGTCCAGCTGAGTGAGGGTCCCTGCTGTGTGAGGGTCCCGCTGAGTGAGGGTCCGGCTGTGTGAAGCTGTGAGGTGTGAGGGTCCCGTTGTATGAGGGTCGCCTCTTCCGGGCTGTCGGTTAGGAGAGCGCCGGCTCTGCGACCTTGGCACCGAAGGGCACGAGCTTTTCTCCCTCAAGGCCCGCGGCCCCGGAAAGCCCGCAGGAAGCGGGCTCGGCAGACACCCTCACTCGGAGGGCAGTGCAGCGGGCGGGGCAGGGAGGGGTCCCCGAGGCCCGGCTCGCCGCCTCAGGCAGGCGCCCGCGGGACCGCAAGAGCTGGCGCCCGTCTTCTTCCCGCGGCTTCGCCTCCGGGCCTCGCACCAGACTTGGGCCTGGGACGTGACCCCGGCTTCCTGCCTAGGCGGAGGGCGCCGCGCCGCACCGCGCTCACGCCCGCTCCTCCCGCAGGTGACACCGGCTCCGACGCTCCGCTGACCGGACGCTCGTCCCCGCCCGCCGTCGAGAAGCCTCCGCGCGCGCGCGCCCCGAGCCCGGCCCCGCCCAACCCGGCCCCGCCCAGCCCCGCGCAGGCCCCGCCCACCCCGCGAAGCCCCGGGCCCGCGGTACCGCTCGACCCGGATCCCGCGGCGGGGCCCGCGCAGGGGGCGGGGCCGGAGCGCCGCTGGCTGCTGGGCGCGCACGCACGGTCGGCGGCGGCGCGCCGCGTACACAGCCGGCGCTCGTTCCAGCGGCCTCGCGCGCGCCGCCGCCCCGCGCTGCTCAAGCTGGCCTCGCTGCCGCCGTCGTGCCACGCGCCGCCCCACGCTCTGGAGCAGGAGGAGACGCCTCTGTGACTGCCACCCCCCACCCCCACCACAACGTCTGCAGGCTTGACGTCGCCCCTGGGGGGCTCCACTCCGCCACGGCTGCGCCCCCGGGAGTCTCTGCCCCCATCACGGCCGCGCCCCCGGGGTTCTCCACTCCGCCACAGTTGCGCCCCCCGGGGGTCTCTGCCCCCATCACAGCCACCCTCCTAGGATCTGCACCCATTACCTCGCCCCAGGGGATGACCTCGACCCTCACGACCTCGCCTCTTAGGGGTCTCCACCTGCCCCTCCCAGCCGAGCCACCGTCACTGCCCAACCCCATGCATGGTCTCCACCCCCGCCACAGTTGCCCATCCGGGGGTCTGCTCGCATGGCCGTATTTTCTTGGGGTTGTGGCCTCAACTCCCAAGGTATCTTTTGGTGACCTGGAGTAGCCCTGGACACTCACCGATCCGGTTAGGTGCTGGGATGCACAGGAGCTGAACTCCTCGGGACCAAATGAGCTGCAAGATGGGAGCCGAGGCACTCCTTGGGGTTCCTTTGGAGAGGCCACTGTGGGTGGGAAGTGGGCGTGAGCTTTCCCCATTGTCTGGGAGGCTCCGTTGCGGGCCCTCTATTCACCTGTCCTGGATTTGAGCTGAGCCGGCATTTGTGTATTGCCGTTTCCATGGTCACCCCTGACTCAGGGACAGTTTGTGCTTCAGTTCCTGCCACCTGTGTCCATTCTTATCGGCTCTGCTGGGGAAACAGACCCAAACCAGATGAGACTTGCCCACCGTGATACCCACCCAGGCTGGCCTCTCCCAAAGCCCCCTGGACTGTCAGCCCCAGGGTCGGGGGAGCCCTGACCCCAGGGTGGGATGTGACCACTCACCATGTCTTTGAACCACCTGTCACCTTAGGGACCGTAGGCACGGCTGCAGAAGCATCTTTTGTTTGCTCGTCCTTTTTGTGTTGAGATTCCCAGAGCCTGATGCTTGCTCACCCTGCACAGATCCAGCCTCAGAATGGGGGCCTCTGCACACCAGGCCCCAAACGTCCCCAAGCCCCTGGTCTGTGGCCTGAGCTGCCCCACCTGATGCTGGATGATGGCCCGGGCTGGGTTAGGGGTTGCAGTGACCCAGTGGGCACGCCCACACAGTCCCAACAGGCGTGTGGGCATCTGTCAGCAAGCAGTCCTCTTTAGAGTCACAGCTGGTCCTTGGAGACCCCAGGTCTGCTCACCACAGACAGGGGATGAGGGGGATTGGACCCCCCCCCCTACACCCACCGCACCCTCAGTGGCTCAGGGACGTGGCCTTGGACAGAGCCCTCAGTCCTCACCCGCTCCTTAGGAGGGTTTTCGAGGCAGTCAAGGAGCAGAGGGTCAGGGGCTCCCGGAAGCTTCTGTGAAGCAGCTCAGCCCTGCTCAGGGAATTGTCCGCTGTGCTGTGACCACATCTTCTGTGCGTCCTTGCAGGCCCCCACCCCCAACCCGACCATGGCAATTCACAGGGCCCCAGTGGCCCTGGTGGAAAGTCTACACTGCGCTTTTGAGGGAAACGGGGAGCGGCAGGGAGGGTGGCTGTGGCCCATGTCACCCAGAGATGGTCCACAGGCTGATGCACAGGTCTGCTCACCATCCAAGTTGCTCGCTCAGCTGTCACCTGGACAGGAGTAAGGTGGTTTGCAATGCTTGTTCTCACATTCACAGCCACTTTGACCCACTCTGAGCATAAGAGCCAGCCATCGTCTGTCCCATAGGCCCGGCGGAAGGCACATTCTCCATCTATTCCTGCCGGGGTGGTTCGTCTGGAGCAGGTGGGCTGGTCCAGGTGCCATAGCCCAGCCATTCAGCATCTCCAGCTGCCTTAACTCTCCTGGACCACCGGACCCAGATCTGATTCCTCACTGCAGGGCCAGAGGCTGAGACACCCACTTGACACTGTAGACTAATTAAACTGTGTGACCGACCTTCCCTGGGCCAGCTGTGCCACGGGCAGCAGGCACTGCCTGTTGTCAACCTGCACAGGCTGAGCAGTGTCCGAGGTTCCACCAAGACATCCAGCCAGAGAGACTGTGTTTGGTCTGTGACACAGCATTATAAGCCGTAGTACTGTGGACACATTTCATAAATGAGAATCTGAGCTGTTCTTGTCATTGTAAAACAGAATGTAAACAAAGTCTTATGAATGTATTTCCTTAAGAAAACTTGTAAAATTTTTTATTAGGAAGATTCTTATTTATTTAATACTGAACTTTGGCTGACTTTGTGATATAAAGTACACAAATTTAGGAGTCATTCTCTCACTTCTACATTTTCTTGAAAATAATTTTAGTGCAGTGCTCAATGAACTATTGATTTCTATTGTTAAAGAGATTTAATGGAGGAATTTCATTGAAACTGGAATGGGAATGTATTTTACATTATGAGTGGTGAAAATTGTGAATGCTGGTTTTGTGAATGTAACCCTGTCAAGCTGTGTGACTCTCATCACGATCACGTGCCTTAAAGCACTGCCAGTGTGCTGTCAGCAGTGTCTGGGAGGAGCCCACCACAGACCCTGCAGCAGCCTGATCAAGTCTATTAAAAATATTACAAGACACTTTGGGTGAAAATTTTGTTTACAAGTGAGATCATACCAAGGAGGTTTTAAGGGGCCACCTCTCCTGCAGGCACAGTATTCTGGCACTAAAATTAACATGGATGCGCCTCTGTTGTGTGTGTGTGTGTGTATGAGTGAGGGTCACGTGGATGCATCTGTGTGTGTGTGCATGTGTGTGAGGCTCAGAGTTAGTGCAGAGGCTTGAGGGCTGAGCACCGGGTGTGTGTGTGTGTGTGTGTGTGTGTGTGTGTGTGTGTGTGTGGGTGTGTGTGTGTGAAGCTCGGGTTTGGTGCAGAGCCTGCAGGCAGAGCCTGAGCCCTGGATGCATGTGTGTGGGTGGTAGTCATGTGGATGTGCCTGTGTGCATGTGAGCGTGTGTGTGCATGAGGCTCAGAGTTAGTGCAGAGTCTTCGGGCAGAGCCTGAGCCCTGGGAACCCGCCCCCCTCCCTGCCCCCACCACAAGCAGAGATGGTGGCCACCAGCACTTTGCCTGCCGGAGTGGGAGGACCAAGCACTTGCCACACCAAAGAGGTCCACAGGGGGCAGGCCTGGGGCTGGAGAGATAGGTGGGGACAGTTGGGTCCAGAGCTTGGGAGACAAGGCTGGTGGGAAAGACCCTAGTGTGTGCAGTTCAGTTCAATCGCTCAGTCGTGTTGGACTCTTTGCAACTCAGTGGACTGCAGCATGCCAGGCCTCCCTGTCCATCACCAACTCCCAGAGTCTGCTCAAACTCATGTCCATTCAGTCGGTGATGCCATCCAACCATCTCATCCTGTCATTCCCTTGTCCTCCCGCCTTCAGTCTTTCCCAGCATCAGGGTCTTTTCCAGTAAGTCAGCCCTTCCCATCAGGTGGCCAAAGTATTGGAGAATTATTGGAGTTTCAGCTTCAGCATCAGTCCTTTCAATGAAAATTCAGGACTGATTTCCTTTAGGATGGACTGGTTGGATCTCCTTGCAATCTCAAGTCTTCTCCACCACCACCCAGTTTAAAAGCATCAATTCTTCAGCGCTCAGCTTTCTTTACAGTCCAACTCTCACATTCATACATGACTACTGGAAAAACCATAGCTCTGACTAGATGGACCTTTGTTGGCAAAGTAATGTTTTTTAATACGCTGTCTACGTTGGTCATAGCTTTTCTTCCAAGGAGCAAGCATCTTTTAATTTCATGGCTGCAGTCACCATCTGAAGTGATTTTGGAGCCCAAGAAAATAAAGTCTGTCACTGTTTCCATTGTTTCCCCACCTATTTGCCATGAAGTGATGGGACTGGATGCCATGATCTTAGTTTTCTCAATGTTGAGTTTTAAGCCAGCTTTTTTCACTCTCCTTTCATCAAGAGGCTCTTTAGATCTTCTTCACTTTCTGCCATAAGTGTGGTGTCATGTGCATATCTGAGGTTATTGATATTTCTCCTGGCAATCTTGGTTCCAGCTTGTTTCTCATACAGCCCAACATTTCACATGATGTACTCTGCATGTAAGTTAAATAAGCAGGGTGACAATATACAGCCTTGATGTACTCCTTTCCCGATTTGGAACCAGTCCGTTGTTCCATGTCTGGTTCTAACTGTTGCTTCTTGACCTGCATACAGATTTCTCACGAGACAAGTAAGGTGGTCTGGTATTCCCATCTCTTGAAGAATTTTCCACAGTTTGTTGTGATCCACACAGTTAAAGGCTTTGGCATAGTCAATAAAGCAGATGTTTTTCTGGAACTCTCTTGGTTTTTTGATGATTCAGCGGATATTGCAAATTTGAATCTCTGGTTCCTCTGCCTTTTCTAAGTCCAGCTTGAACATCTGGAAGTTCACGGTTCACGTACTGTTGAAGCCTGGCTTGGAGAATTTTAAGCATTACTTTACTAGCATGTGAGATGAGTGCAATTGTATGGTAGTTTGAGCATTCTTTGGCATTGCCTCTCTTTAGGATTGGAATGAAAACTGACCTTTTCCAGTCCTGTGGCCAGTGTGGGGAAACCAAGCCCTGTATACACATCCCAGTGGATCCCAGCCCCCAGGTGGAGCCGCCTGGGGCTGGCAGTCTTCTCCAGTGGGTCATCCTCCAGGGCTCCCTGTCAGAGACACACCTTTTAATAGTTGAATTTTCTAACTTTATTGTAATTGTGTATTTTCACCTGCATTGAGTCCCAGTTGTGGCACACAGGATCTTTTGCTGCTGCGAGGGCTTAGCTGCTCCGTCGCTTGTGGGATCTCACGTCCCTGACCAGGGACTGAAGCCACATCCCCTGCATTGGAAGGCGGATTCCTAACCACTGGACCACCAGGGAAGTCCCCTGAAATTTTATTGTATAAAGAAACTAGCAATTTGCCGTCTGGCTCAGGAAACTCAAACAGGGGCTCTCTATCAACCTAGAGGGGTTGTTGGGGAGGGAGATGAGAGGGAGTTTCAAAAGGGAGGGGTTATATGTGTACCTAAGGCTGATTCAAGTTGAGGTTTGACAGAAAATGGCAAAATTGTGTAAAGCAATTATCCTTCAATAAAAAATTAAGAAAAAAGGAAACTAGCAAGTCAAAATGTAGGCCATAGACATTCTAAGAGGACTCAGTAAATATAGCCCTTTCCACGTTGGTGGAAAGCAGTCTCCAGCAAGTAAGGGGCTTTTTCCTGAAGCTGCCCCCCACCGCCTGAAACACAACATTGATTGCTGGAGTTGGCAATCAGGACGAGGCGGGACAGGGCTGCGCCCCCTGAGCCCCATAGGCGAGTCCTCCAGCCTCTGCAGCCTCTGGTGGCAGAAGCCTCACCACGACCCCGTCTTCACCAGGCGTCACCTTGTCAGGACAGTCATGTCTGCTTAGGCGCCCACGTCCTCCTCCCACACAGGAGGGCCCCAGGGCAGCTGGATACCTGTGCTGCCCACCAGCCCTGACTGATGTCCTCAGTGTGGGAAGAAACCCACCCCCGCTTCCAGGCTCTGCCTGTGTCACTAGGGGAGCGCGGATCGCATGACGCAGGTGCAGTGGGACAGCATGCCAGGCAGTGCAATGAGCACACGGGGTCAGGAGTCCCTTCTCCCTGGCGTTTTGGAAACCCACTGAATAAACCCGAGTCAGACATTTCCTGACTTGAAAGAGGTGCTTCCACCGAACAGCAGTGTTTCTACAAAAAATGCCACGACTCAATGAGTCTGTGAAGCCAGCTCCCAGCGTGGGCCCCAGGCTGCCCACCGTTGAACCCACTTTCTCCAACGGGCACATGGTGCCTGAGCAAGGGGCAGACGCTGGCCTTCAGCACAGGTGCCTGCGGGCCTTGCACTGAGTGACCTGGAGATGCCCCCTCCCTGGGCATCAGTGTGGACACCATACCCGCCCACCGGAAGCGGCCCTCCGCCATGGCCCCCCACCACGCCATCCAGCACATCCTGGCCCTCAGAACGTGGTGTGTCCAGCATTCAGCTCAGGGCCCACCACGGTGCAGGTGTGTGGTGGCCACCAGAGGGCAGGTCACTTGGGTCAGCTGCCACAACCTGCAGTCACCATGGGTATTTACACAAGAAGTAACTCAGAGTGGAAATTCTCTCATTAAGTGGAAAAACAAATTATTTTCATTATCTTGAGGGGCAATAACTAATGACTGCTCACACTCAACTTTATTAATTCAAAGACCATGCATGACTGAATCCTTTACACTTAAGTCTGGTCAAGCAGGAACTGGACTGGACTGACGCGTGTGCTAGCAGACAGCAGTTGACAGGAAGTCTGGGAGACAACCATGTCTCTTCTGTGCCAGGATCGGCCATGAGAACCATCTCTCACGTCTCCATCTAGGCTGTGAATCCTCCAAGAGAGTCCTCCCACCAGGATCGGATGTGAGAACCGTCTCTCACGTCTCCAAGATTGTATGTAAGTCCTCCAAGACGAGAGCCCTCCAGGCGAATTTTCTGCCTCTCGTGACGAGGAAACAGCATGGCATCCACTCTGGTTCCAGATGCGTAAGGAAGGACGAGACCCTCAGAGCAGCCCAGCACCCATACACTGCAAGGAGAACGGGCGAACGCCGGAGCCATCCCGCAGCCACCATAGAGCGCGGCCGCCAAGAGCATGCCCAGCAGGGCAGCGCTGGAGTGGAGACCTCCCCCGAGGCTCCCTGTTAACCTCAGGTGCAGGTCTGTAATTTGCTTGGTGTAAGAGTCACTCGCGGGCGCTCCTGGCATCGTCCACCTGCCTGCGGGCTCACCCGCCACACCCACCGCATCGCCTGCTGGCAGGTCTACTCCCGGGGAGGCCTGACCTTGAGCTCAAGCATCTGAAACCTGAAAGTGGCTTCTGGGCGGGCCTGCAAGGTCATCACCAGTGAGGTGGGGGCAGGAAGCTGTCAGTCTCTGACAGCAGTTTGGGAAGTGTGCACACAGGGCAGCGTCGGGGGGTGGAGGGGCAGTGCTTTCTGACCCCGCGGCCACCTGAGGCCGGGGTCACATGGGCTACTTGAGGAGTTTGGCCACGTTGAGGCTGGGAACCATGATATCCTTGAAGATGGGCACGTAGTCGGGACTGGCCTGGGCCGGGCCCTGCTCCAGTGTCTCGATGATGGTCTGCTTCATGTCCCGGCTAGCGTCCCCCCGCATGGCCAACAGTGCCCCAATGTGGTCATCCCTGGGGGCGAGGGGGTGTCAGGATGCAGCCGCAGGGGAGCCCCTCCCTCCCTCCCCCACTAACACGCAGGAGGGCCCGGAGATGGCACAGGACGAGCATCCAGAAACCAGTGTGCTTGGCTACCTTCCCCTGGAACACCACACATGGGGATGCCTGGACCATGACTCCAGCGCGTCACGGTCGTCTCTGAAGCATGCTCTGCCCACGTCACCATCTGCAGGCCTCAGGGTCCTCCCAGAAGCCCAGAGCTGCCACACTCCCCCCACCCCGGGGGCTCCCACCTAATGCCTGGGACCCTCCCCCTCCCCAGAGACTTCAGGGGAGACTCTGCTGGTACCTGATGTCCGGGTACTTGCTGACCAGAGTCGAGACCTCCAGGTAGAGCAGAGAAGGGTCCGTGAGCTTAATGACCTCTGCGACGGCGACGATGGTGTCACAGTAGCTGTCCATCTCCTCTCCAAAGCCCTGCGGGTCCGCACGGCGCTGAGCGGTGTACACACCCGGGGCTCCGCCCGGCTGCCCAGTGCCCACCTCCTTTGCAGCAACCCCTCAGGACTCGCTCCTCAGAGAGGGCTCAGGAGGCGGCGGGGGGCAGCCCAGGCCTTCTGACGGACTGGGACACTAAGCGCCCGCCCCCCGCCCCCACCCCCCAGGCCAGGCGGGTCCCAGCAGGAAGATGTGGCGCACTCACGGAAGCCAGCTTGCGGAAGAGGAAGCGCAGCTGCTCGGCCTCGCGCACCATGCGCTCCGCGCCGTCCTTGCGCTCCTCGGCGCTGCGGAAGGAGATGCGCTTCTGCATGACGGCCCGCAGGTACTCCTGAACCGCGCGCCGGTGCGCCTCGGCGATCATCCGCTGCGGACAGGGCTCGGTCAGCCTTCCCGTCTCAGTGACACGATTTCAGTGTCTACAGAGTTCTGAGGCTTTCTTACAAACTCGAGTTTAGCAAGGCAGCAAGTTCACCGTGTTTCATGTTTGGGAAAAGGGCAGATGCGGCAGCCACAGGGCCGCAGGCAGAGGCTGGCTCCGCCCAGGTGCGCTCAGGCCGGTCCTAGAATAAAGCGCCTGCGGGGGGCCCTGCCTGCAGCCTTGCCCAACATGTCCTGGGCACAAACCGGCTGCTGAGTGCTTCCTGTGGGGGCAAGGCGGTGGGTGCCAGCTCTGCCTCCCTGCCTGAGACCCCTTCAGGGGCTCACGGGCTGCCCCGGGGCACTGGGGCTGGTCTCCTCGCCCTGCGGGGCCTCCACACACCTCTGAGCGACTCAGCTCATGGGGAGTGTGGACCCGGTGCGAGGACTGGGCTCCGGCCAGGCCCCTGCTTGGCCCCTCCCACGTCACACCCGTGATCAGAAGGCTCCTCAACACTGGTCTCTGTGGACAGTATGACTCTGGGAGTATGTTGGAGAAGGCTGTGGTTCTCTCCAGGGCCCACCCTCAGTGATAGACAGACCCCAGGCAGTCACCTGTGAACATGTGAGCACAAAAGTGCCAACACAACACACAACATCAGGGCCCTGAGAAGAGACATGAGAAGCCCCTTCTACCAGGGAAGCCGGGAAGCTCCTTTGCTGCACTGAAGTGAGGGGGACCCCAAGGTCCCCAAACAAGACAAAGCAAGACAGTGCCCAGCAGCTCAGGGATCCGGGTGAGGCCAGGCGCTCAGCAGAGCACACGATCCCAAAGGAGCGGGCGGGCCATGAGCCCAGGCTGAGGGCTTTACACGCCACTGTCAGACCAAGGTACAGAAGGTTCAAAAAAATAAAAGGTGGAACCAAAAACTATACAAGCAACAAGAAATTAAAAACTGAATTAACCCTAACCTCTAACCATCAGGGGCTCCCGACACTGAGACGGGGCCATCAGGGTCAGGACTCCCTCAAGGTCTGGGGGTGAGCACAGCTCGCTCCCAGCACAGGGGCCCTGGGTTAGATTCCCAGTCGGGGAGCTAAGATCCCACATGCCGCAGCTAAACACAGGCAACTACTGAGTCTGCGCACACGAAAGCCCTTGAGCCACAGTGACGACCCAGGGCAGCCTAAATAAACAAAAAAATAAAATAAAAAACCAAAACACCAGGTTCTCCCTGCATCACTCTGATGACAGAGTTAGAATTTAAACTTTCAAATGAGACAAAGATGCCCCTTCCTGGAGATCCCAGCCAGGGCAGCAAGACGAGAAGATACGAAGCCACAGGGTGACGCTGCTCGCAAATGAAACAACCGTTTCCATGGAGCCCTGAGAGGACCTGGAGACTGGCCTCCAAGTGTCTGGACCCGAGTTCCCGGTATCAAAACACACATGTTTCCGTAGGGCAAAAACAGAAATCCTGACTTTAAAGCAACAACAGCAAAACCCACCCAAGGCCCTGACGATTGTCCCCGAGCTTCCCCAGCGGCTGCCTGACCCCTGAATGGGGACAGGGCATCTCACGGGGCCTGGAGGGACCAGTGTGCCCTCTGCTGAGTGGCACTCAGCACAGAGCTGAGAGCACAGACGAGCAGAGGGCACTGCCGCTCCTGGCCTCTCGTCAGAGCCGCGGCTAGTGCCCCACCCTCTCTCGGCACGGTCCCTGCTGAGCAGGCCCCGCCGCCACGGGGCTCTGGGACTGCAGCTATGCCAGCGTGGCCATGGGCAGCATGGTGGACTCCCCGTCACCTTCAGACACCATTGTCTCCAACCTGCTTGGGGCCCAAAACCACCCCTGAATTCTCACCCTGAGAACTAATGATACCAGATTCTACAGGAGATGCCTGGGGACTGAGACTACATGGGGGCCCCATGATCTTTCTTACCTTTCTATACGGCTTCTTAATTTTGGCAAAATCATTGAAATAGTCTTCCACAGTGACACAGATGATGTCTACAGCATTTGACCCTAACAGCCACTTCTTTGTCATCAACTCATTGAGATGTTGCTGGAAGCAGAAACCACAGAAAATACCCTCGTGACGGCCCGTCATGGGGAATGGGGTGCCGAGAGTCCACCTTCACACACCTGCCTGATGTTGTGATCATGACTGCCACACTTGTGCAGAAACCCTGCACACACACACTTTTCCCACACGAGACTTACACTACACTTGATGGAGGCATCTGTGCATGCATGTGCATGCATGTTTCACCTGAACTGACTACATCTATTTATCGTGTGGATGCTCTGTAACTAATTACTCAATTCTGATGGACATTTAAAATGTCTCATTTTTCAATTATAAAGAAAGCTGCGGTAAATCTGTTATGTTTCTGTAGGTGAAACTCCCAAAACCAGAACTGCTGAGTCAAAAGGTAGCAAACTACAACCCTCATGACTGCTGCCTCCAACACTTATACCAGCTGCCCCCAAAACCACACCAATTCACAGTATTGTAGAGAATACAAGAGTCTCTCTTTTTCCTCAAGTCCTATCACTGTGTGGTAGAAATGTTCTTAATCTGTGCCATCCCAGTAAGCAACACAAACACCGTTTTAATCTACATTTCTTAGAAGATCGGTAAGACCGGGATTCTGTCTCCTACTCAGGACATAGACTACTCCCTTTCATGTGAAGTATTACTCATGCCCTTTGTCTATTTCTCTATTATGTGGTCTTTTTAAACAGTTCCTTTGTTTTCTAACCATTTCTCAGACAGACATCATGAAATATCCTGCCCATACCCCAGGAGCTCCTCCCTGCAGGACCCAAGTCATCATGACTCTGCTTTTTAGTATGTCCTGGTTCCTGCCACCCCTGGATAATGTGGGCCGTTTCTGTGTTTCTAAGTAAACTCGCGTGCTCGTCACCCTCCACGCCTCTGAGCTGACCTGCCTGGGCCTCACTCCTGACTATGAGCCGTGCTTTGCTCACAGTTGAGCCAGCTGAGGACAGAGTGCAGGCCGGTGCGTGGCTCAGTCCAGAACTTGCCAGCAAACACCACCAGCTCCCACCCCGAAACTGCTGGGACACTTCCTGGAAGCGTGTCTATGCAACACCGTGTCGGGAGGGCCCAGCACGGGGCGGGGGAGAGGGCGCCCACCTCCAGGTCCAGGAAGACTTCCTCCAGCAGGCTGCAGCAGCCCTCTTTGGCAATCGCGTCCAAAACCCCATCCATGCTTGGCTGGCTCAGAGAAATGCCTTCTTCCGCCTCGTGCTTCAGATACTTCCTTTTTAAACTGACTACAGATTCTCTACAGGAGACAAGACAGGGTGCCGTGAGGTGGCTGAGGGTGCGCCCCGCCCCGCCAGCCCCCACCACGGCTCACTTGAAGGTCTGGCAGTTGTTGACAAGGGCGACCATGTACTGCACATAGCAGTGCGGGTGCTGCCGGTTCCGCAGGTGCTCGTCTCTGTACAGCTGCGCCTCCTCCTTGTACCTGCGGACACGGGGCAGTCAGCGCGGCGAGCACCGCGCCCAGCACACAGACCCCACTGACCCCTCACGGGGGCCCACAGAGTGAAAGACTGGGGAGGGGGCGAACTACGCTAACAGTAGCTCGTCGATTACAACAGATTATTATAAATTTCATATCAGGCCTTGAAATATGGCTCCATATTCTGATTATACAAATATTCTGAAACGTTTGTACCTGGGAAACTATTATCTGACATGTAACTCATCTAGAAACTCACACAGTAGTGTTGGGAGCACAATCAAATGTTAGATAAAACATCCTTTTCTGAAACTTCCCCCAAAGAAATCAAACTGAAAATACATCAGACTTTAAGAAGTCAGAAGCAGAAACGGAGACAGCCACACACTTCACTTCTGAACATTCTCTGGAGATGCTCAGACAGACGCAGAAGCAGAATACAGCACACCTGTATTCTGATCTGCGCACGTTTTCAGAGCATCTTCAGGACGGAGCAAACTGAACAAGGGTGACTGAAGGGGAGTAATTAAGCATTAACTCCAGTGTTCTGCCCAAAGCATGGCTCGGCTAACCATACAGCTGAGGCCGATAAGGAGAATGTGCCTCGCAGGGGAATCCCCACAAGACGTCCCACTCAGCACACGACTCTCGCGGATGGAGGCCGACGGGGCCTCGATGCAGGGCCGGGCTGTCGGCACCTGAGCCACCGGGGCAGGCGTGCAGAGGACATGGGCCTGCTGTGTTCCGGCCCAGCAGTGAGGAGACACAGAAAGGCCTCAGCCTTTAGAGTCAGGGTCTGGTCCGGGGCAGACGGCAGCGTGAGGCCTGGTGGGAGAGCCCGGGGCACTGACAGGAAGGCGTGTGGTCCTCATGGGCCAGGCCGTCCGCTGGCCCGGCCTGGGTGTACCACTATCTGAGCAGGCAGGTCCGACACCAGTGGGGACCCCAAACACAGCGCGGTGCTGCAGGGGCCCAGCAGCCGCTCGTGGCTGTCGCGTGCGAGCCAAGGGCATTGAGGCCAGGGCAGGCAAGCAGGCGGGCCACACCACAGGCTCTGGCATCCGCAGTCAAGCACGGCTGACCCCTGAACGTGGGTCTGAACCGCACAGGTTCACGGCCACGTGTATTTTCTCAGTCACCGTGCCCGCTGCCCAACGGGAGCCGAGGCTGGCTGAAGCTGTGGACTTGGGACCATGGGCAGGACGGCTGCCTGGGAGGTGCTCTGTGGACCTGCAGCTGCAGCGGGGGGCCACCCTCCAGGGCCTGCATCTTGCTCTGAGTCAACTGTACTTCAGCACAACAGGGGGAGGGAACTAGATGAGGTCCAGGGTGGCTTTAAGTGGACAGCTCTGAACCTGGACAGTGGGCGAAGAAGCTCTTGTGTCACTCTGCCTCTGTCTGTGTCTGAAAATCTCCTTCATGAACAATTCAGAGGTGGGGGGCATCCCTGTGTGGTACTAGTCTTTGAGTACCTTCCTTCCTTCTGACGGAAGGTGGCCTCCCCAGCCCCCGAGGAAGGCAGCCTGGAGGCGGCTCCCCACTCCACCCCTGCAGGAGCTCCAGCCTCCCTCCCCGACCCCGCTCAGGACCCCCACAACACCCAGGACCCCAGGGGGTGCCCTCATGCAAAAGGCAGATAGTAAGTCAGGGTGTGAGGTCTAAATAACAGAAGAAGGTGACTATGATGAATTCAACCTTATAGTCTTTTTTAATACTAGCCAGGCTAAGATCAACACAGTTTAGCTTTTCATTATAAAAAAATAAATAATAAAAAATACACTTTATAATTAGCACACTGGTAAGAATACATACCTACTTAAGAAAGAATTCATTTGCTGAAGATACAAAACTAGTACCTTTGTTTTCAAATCTTCACTTATCTGAGCAGCAACTTGAAGGTTCTGCTCGAACATCTAAAAATTGGAGAACTTATGAACTTTGATATAAAGTCATGAGGATACAAGTTTCCCATATCAGTCCCCCAGAAGTTAACTGGTAGTTAGGACAACCCAAATTCAGAGAAAAAAATGAAGCCACTTGAAAAATAACAAAGTTAATTCAACAAACACACAAAACTTTCTCAGCAGGTTGAAAAAAAAAGCCAAAACCCCCAGCGAACCATTTCCTGATCACCTGCATATCCCCCCGGGAGACACACGTTCTCACGGGAAGCCGGGGGCCAGGGCAGCTGAGGTCACGTGGGGACCGGTGCCGGCATGTCGGTCCCTTTGAAGAACTGGGAGAATAAACCCAGGAGCAGGGGCACCAGATGAGGACAGGTGGGGAAGGACCAGAAGGCAGAGCCTGCCCCCATCATCACAGTCAGTCTCCAAATAAAGGAGGGGGTGGGCCCAACACGCCAGAGACCAACAAGGCCACCCACGGCCTACCCAATGCCCAGCTCCGTGTTTCAGGAGTGTGTGAACATGGTCAGTAACACTTCTGAAAAGAGACTGAACAGGCTAGGAGGAGGCAGGCAAGCCCACTCAACAACACAGCAGGCGTCAAAAAACAGACTGACTGTATGAGCACACGATTACCCTAGAAATCCACAGGGCTCCCCCAAAGTACATCAGATTAGACTCTCCTAGGCTGTGTTTATGAAGACGAACCTTGGCCAGTTATCTCAGGAAGTAAGCACCAGACACATAACATATAATTACTGGGTTGGCCAAAACATGAGTCTGGTGTTTTCCATAAGATGGCTCCAGTAGCACTTAGTTGTCTTTAATGTCATTCAAAACAGTCCTGTTAGACTGTGTCCAGACAGCTTCATATCAGCATGCATTTTTTCTTTCTAAAAATTGGTGAATTTTTGTGAAGCCATTTTAACACTGAAAATGGAAGAAAACAGTAATGTTTTGACATATTATGTTTTACTACTTCAAAAGAGGTAAAAACACAACTGAAAGGCAAAAAGATTTGTGAAAATATATGGCAAAGGTGCTATGACTGATTGAATGGGTCGAAAGTGGTTTGCGAAGTTTCGTGCTGGAGATTTCTTGCTCCATAGTGGGGCAGACCAGCTGAAGTTAACAGCAATCATATCGAGACATTAATTGCGAACAATCAATGTTCTACCACATGGGAGACGGCCAACATACTCAAAATATCCAAATCAAGCGCTGAAAATTGTTTGCACCAGACTGGTTATGTTCATCACTTCGATGTTGGGGTGCCATGTAATTTAAATGAAAAAAACCTTCTTGACTATATATCCACATACTACGTAACAAAAACGTTTCATTGTTAAAACAAATCGTGACAGATGGTGAAAAGTGGATCCTGTACAACAATATGCAACAGATGAGATCCTATGGCAAGCGAAATGAACCACCACCAACCACACCAAAGGCTAGTCTTCATCCAAAGAAGGCAATGTTGTGGACATGGTGGGACTGAAAGGGAGTCTTCTATTATGAGCTCCTTCTGGAAACTGAACAATTCCAACAAGTACTGCTCCCACTTAGACCAACCCGAGAGCAGCACTCGATGAAAGCATCTGGGGTTAGTCAACAGAAAACGCATCATCTTCCATCAGCATAACATAAACCTGCATGTGTCTCTGATGACCAGGCAAAAAGCGTTACAGCCTGGATGGGAAGTTCTGATTCATTTGCTGTGTTCACCAGACAGGGCACCTTCAGAATGCCATTTATTTCAGTCTTTATGAAATTCTTTTAATGGAAACAATTTCAATTCTCTGGAAGACTATAAAAGGAACTGGAACAGCTCTTTGCTCAAAAAGATAAAAAACTTTTGGGAAGATGGGATTATGAAATTGCCTGGATATATGGCAGAAGGTAGTAGAACAGTGAATACTTTGATTAATAAAGTTCTTGGTGAAAATGAAAAATGTGCCTTTTATTTAAAAGTTGAAGAACTTTTTAGCCAACCCAATAGCTTCTAGATTGAAATAAAAAACCACTAGGAACACAGAAGATGTAGGGTTCTGCGACCAAGGGCAAAACTACTTGGCTAGCCTGACCCCTGGCTCCCCAGCTCTGGAGAGAAAAAGGCTCTCCCTGAGGTCAGCATGCAACTATGCAACTATGTATGTGTGAAGCCCCTCAAGGCCCCACACGGGTGTGTGTGTGTTTGTGTGTGTGTGAGACAGAAAAAGGCTCTCCCTGATGTTAGCATGCAACTACATATGTGTGAAGCCCCTCAAGGCCCCACGCAGGGTGGTGTGTGTGTGTGTGTCTGTGTGTGTGTGTGTCCCTGCGGCCGCACACTTGGAACACGATGGTGGGCAGCGTCGTCTGATAGTTGCTGTCCCGGTCGGCCTCGGGCTCTGCCTTCTTATCTGTCTCCAGTGTGTGTGTGTGTGTGTGTGTGTGTGTGTGTGTGTGAGGCTCCGCGGGCGCGTACCTGGAACACGATGGCAGGCAGTGTCGTCTGATAGTAGCCGTCCTGGTCGGCCTCGGGCTCCGTCTCCTTCACCCAGTCCTTCTTGTCCGTTTCCAGGGCTTTCCGCAGCCAGGCAATGATGTTGGACTGAGCCGCAGGGAGGACAGAGCCGGCCATGGAGTCGACACCCGATCTTGGGGGTGCAGCCGCAGAGCAGCCTGCCCGCCACCCCTCACCCTGGGCCCCGAGGGCTCGGGAGATGCCCTGACCCCACCCGCCCCTCCTGCTCCTGGCTCTGCGCTCAGCCCAGGGGATGGGCAGGTCCGGCCTCCAGCGGAGGAGGTTCCATTCGATTCAGAAGGGGCCGCCCTCCCTCCACCCCGCCTCTGTGTGGGACCAACCGTGACTCACAGTCAGAGTGGACATGTAGGTGTCGAGCAGTACAGAGACCACGTCTGCGGAGAGCAAAGGTTCCAGAAGGGCCACGTCCACCTCGGGGGCCAGCTCCGCATTCCCCATCATCTCCACGCTGTGGCAAAGGGGGGCCAGACAGACAGACTGACTACCAGGGAGGCGGGAGACAGAGAGACTGACTGACTGACCACCAGGCAGGCAGGCAGGATGGGACAGACAGACAGACTGACCACCAGGCAGGCAGGCAGGCAGGATGAGACAGACAGACAGACTGACCACCAGGCAGGTGGAAGGATGAGATAGGCAGACTGACTGACCACCAGGGAGGCGGAAGGATGAGACAGACAGACAGACTGACCACCAGGGAGGCGGGAGACATACAGACAGACTGACTGACCACCAGGCAGGCAGGAGGATGAGACAGACAGACAGACTGACCACCAGGCAGGCGGAAGGATGAGACAGACAGACTGACTGACCACCAGGCAGGTGGGAGGATGAGACAGACAGACAGACTGACCACCAGGCAGGCAGGAACCCCTCAGGAGGGCTGCTCCCGGGCCGGGGCTCGCTCAGCTCCAGGGACTGGAGCAAGGCAGCCCCTCCCACCGCCCTGAGGCTGGAGGGGAGGTCCGTCTGCCCCCCATGGCCCCTGGGGACGTGCAGGGCCCAGCAGGCAGGAGGCCCCAGGAGCCAGGGAATGAGCCCTGGGTTTAGACGTGTGGCGCGGGCGCTAACCCTGATGCTCCTGCGAAAGGACGGGGCCCAGAGCAGGCACCATCTGATGTCTGCACCCAGCCCCTGGGGCCGAGGAGACCGGAGTGTGGACCGAGCGCTAGGAAAGAGCTTTCACAAAAAACATGAAAGCGAGGTATGAGACTCGGTTCCCAGAAGGCCAGGGCTGACCGCTCTGATGACTCCTTAAGCACGGGTCCAGAATGACAACCCTAGGTACTAACAGCATCCAACACCTGTAAGGAACCCCAGATCTTCCTGCATTAAAAAGTACCTCACGACACTCTACAAACACCCAAAGACCATTTACAGTCTAGACTATTTCTGCCCCAAGAACCTTAATTCTGCATGAACATGTTTCTAGTGTGGAAACAGCGCAATGTTTCCCTTGAGAAAGTCCCACACAACAGAACATGATGAACAATAGGAGGCGTCAAAGAACTGCCACTGAGAGAACAGCGCTTAACCACATGGTGAATGAGAAACAAGGTAAGACCGACACCACGGAAGACACACAACTGCACACGCCGCAGTCTGGTGGGTCGACCACGGCAGGGGCCCAGACCCCAGACTCAAGTCCTGCTCCCCACCGGCCGGCCGACTGACCCTGGACACAGTCCCCCAGGCCTCAGAGCAAAGGGGACGATGAGAGGCCTTCCTCGGGGGTGACCCACGGGGCCTATGCGCTAGGGATGGCTGTGGCGGGTGGCCGGCACATAGGGAGATCGGAGGCCCCAACCCAGCCCAGTGGCTGCAAGTGCGTCAGTCACAACAGACGTTTTCTTTCTCTTCACATTTTCCTGTATTGAAATGTGCACATGTACACGTTCTTTACTATAAGCAGTTACCAAACAACAAACAAAACACAGACCAAAGAAATCCCCAAACCATGCTTCCATGGTAGTGAAGAATCTGCCTCGAAAGGTAGGGGACACTGGTTCAACCCCTGATCTGGGAAGATGCCACATGCCGTGGAACAACTAAGCCTGCACACCACAACTGCTGAAGCCCGCACCCCTGGACTCTGTGCTCCGCAATAGCAGGAGCCACCATGGTGAGAAGCCCGTGCACTAGAACTAGAGAGGAGCTCCCACCTGCTGCACCTGGAGAAAGCTCACACACAACAACGAAGATCCAGCACAAAAAAACAAATAAATAAAAGCAATTAAATTTTAATTTATAAGTAACTAAATTTTAATTAATCAAATTCATCAATTAAGAAATAGTTTAAAAACATCCCCAAACCTTACTACTACAACAAGAGGTTCAATTTCTACACATCAGCGACAAGGCAGGCTAGGATAAATTGAGCTTCCCTCTCACTACTGCTGCTGCTGCTGAGTCGCTTCAGTCGTGTCCGACTCTGTGTGACCCTATAGACGGCAGCCCACCAGGCTCCCCCGTCCCTGGGATTCTCCAGGCAAGAACACTAGAGTGGGTTGCCATGTCCTTCTCCAACACAGCAAAGTGAAAAGTGAAAGTGAAGTCGCTCAGTCGAGCCCACCAGGCTCCTCTGTCCATGGGATTTTCCAGGTGGCAGTACTGGAGCGGGGTGCCATTGCCTTCTCCCTCTCACTAGCTAACCTTAAAGACTTTGACAACACCCCACCACCACCTTGTTCTTCAAGTCCAACCTCAAAATAATGCTGGCACACAGTGACTCACAGCCCTTTCATGGAGTGTCAAAACCTCAAGGCCGAAGAGCAAAAGGATGGCTGATTCTCTGAGCACACAGGGGAGGAGAAACCAGACTCGGGGTGTCAGAAGCCAGCGAGGGCGACTGGGGCCCCTTCAGCAGCCACATGACTGTGCAGGTCACGGAGCCTCTGGGTTAGACGGCCAACACCTCCTGCTCCTGAGGTCACTGCGGGGCACACGCAATGCTGAGCTGCTCACCAGTGTCCAGGCACAGGAGCCCCCCAAGCACAGGAGCCTTTGCACGACCCAACCCCGGATCACATGCAGCCCAGGAAGGAAATGCGTCACCAGAGGCAACGCCTGCGGGTGCCAGGTGCCTGCCCTGCACCGAGGACCCAGCAGCTGTGCAGGTTGCCAGCGGCCTATGGAACAGGAGACGCCGTGTGTGAAGGGGGAGTTACCTGGTGTAAGTGTTCAAAACCCAGGTCAGCAGGCTGACGATCTCGTTCGCTTCCAGGTCCTCCGCTGCAAGGTCCTGCATGCGCGTGCTCAGAGCCTGGTGGTAGGTGCGAAGCAGGCTCCGGAAGATCTCGTAGTGTGGTGGGAAGCACTGCGCCAGCAGGTTCTTGGCGACGATGAGGTCGTCCAGCACGTACTTCCGTATGATCTCCAGGTGGCGCACAAGCCACATCCTGTCTGACTCCCTGGTGTCCGCCTGCGTACCCTCGATCCTGGTGGTCACCGTTCTGTCCAGGATGGTGAACATCTTCTCCTTCCAGTTCTTGGGTCTTCCAGGGGGCACAAAGCCAGTCTGCTTCTTCCGGTCAAGGATGCGCCGGTCAATTCTCTCCTCCCTCTCAATGATCCTGACGACGGAGACGAGCAGGGTGGGGTCCCGGCGCACAGTGACCAGCGACCTCTGCAGCACCACCCACAGCTGCTTGGCCAGCTCGTCGGACAGGCCCTGCGTGCTCCCGAAGTAGCTGCGGATGAGCGTCATGTCGCGCGCGTTCCCGCTGTCCATGCGGTACTGCTCATACATCAGCCCGTCCCGGGAGCACTCCAGGTCCATCAGCTTCCGGTGGGCTTGCAGCAGCTCCCCACGCTCTATAAGGTCCTGCGTCTCCCTCACGATCTCAGGCACTGGGGGGAAGGCAAAGATGGCACCGTGAAACACCAACGCAGGGCAGCACGGGGTGCCAGGCCAACGGCAGGCAAGGGCAGCCAGGAACCCGCCCCCACTGGACAACCACCACACCCACAGGACTCAGGTGAGGGACCACACACTGTGGAGCTGTGGGGGCTACTGAAGGCTCACACCTCCCAGGGAAAGGCATGAACAGTATTTCAGCTCTCAGCACAGTAGCAAAGTAGAAATTGACTACAAATGACCAGGAGAGGCACAGGCTCAGAAAGACCTGAGAAGACTTTAAGTTTACATGCCAGCCTGGTCCTCAACAGAGACGTAGCCTACGACAGTCAAAACAGCAAAACTAATAAATAAAATCAGCATACCCTGGCAAAGAGGAACATCTGACTTCTAGAGCCACATGTTAATTAGATTCAAACGTCCACTGCTCAACAAGAGCACAAGGCAACCAAAGATGGAGAAGAGAAGAGAGTCAAAGGGAAAACCAGAAACCATCCCGGAGAAGGACAGACAGTGGACCAGACAAGGACTCGAAGACAAGTTCCCCAACATGCTCAAAGAACTACAGGCAAATGTGGACAGACGTGTAACTGAATGAAAGTTACTTCAGGTTCTCAAAACAGATTTGAGTGAGCAGAAGAATGAATCAGCGAACAAAGACAGGACGCAGGAAATTATCAATCATGAGGCTGAAAAGGGAAGGGACTAGAGAAGAGAGGACAGAGCCTCCAGGGCTTGTGTGCCACCACTGGGCTGACCGCGTGCACACGCAGGAGCCGGAGGAGGAGAGCAGGTGCGCACGCCTGCCTCACAGACGCTGTGCGTTTCTACCAGCTGAGGGTCTGCAGTGACCCTGCATCAAGCAAGCTTACCGGCACCACGGTGCCAACATCATTTGCTCCCTTCATGTCTTTGTGTCACATTTTATTCTTTTATTATCTTGAAACATTTCACATTTATAGGACATTCCATCTGAAAGCAGAATACGCTCTCCTCTCATGTGCACACAGAACACTCTCCAGGATAGATCACATGTGCCAGCGAAGTCCCTGCAGTCGTGTCCACTCTTTGTGACCCTACGGCCGGTAGTCCGCCAGGCTCCTCTGTCCATGGGGTTCTCCAGGCAAGAATACTGGAGTGGGTTGCCATGCCCTCCTTCAGGGCAGCTTCCCCACCCAGGGGTAAAACCCATGTCTCTTAAGTCTCCTGCATCGGTACGTGGGTTCTTTACAACTAGTGCCACCTGGTGGGTCACCAATCAAGCCCTGGTAAATTTAAGGAGACTGAAATAGTACCAAGTATCTTTTCTGACCAGAATGTTATGAGATTAGAAATAAATTAGAGAAAAAAAAAAACCTGCAAAAAAACATAAACATATGGTGGCTAAACAACATGTTACGAAATAAGAAATCACTGAGGAAATTAAAAAATACATAGAAACAAATGATGACAAAAACACAACCACCCAAACCTAAGGGATGCAGCAAAAGCAGTTCTAAGAGGGAAGTTTCTAGTAATTCAACCCTATCTCAAGAATCAAGAAAAATCTTAAACAACCAACCTAACCTCACACCTAAAGCAACTGGAGAAAGGATAAACAAAATCCAAAGTTACTAGAGAAAAGAAATTATGAAAATCAAAGAAGTAAATGAAATGAAGAAAATAATAGCAAACTCAATGAAACTAAAATAAAAGCTAGTTCTTTGAGAAGACAAACAAAATTGATACACCTTTAGCCAGGCTCATCAAGGAAAAAAGGGAGAAGTTTCAAATAAAAGAATTAGAAATGAAAATGGAGAAATTATTAATACAACTGACACTGCAGAAATACAAAGCTCATAAGAGACTACTGTCACCAACTATATGTCAATAAAATGCACAATCTAGAAGTGAACAAATTCTTAGAAAGGTATAAGCTTCTAAGACTGAGTCAAGAAGAAGTAGACAGACCAATCCTAAGTGATGAAGTTGAAACTATAATTAAAAATCTTTCAATAAACAGAAGCCCAGAACCAGACAGCCTCACAGACAAATTCTACCAAACATTTAGATAAGAGCTAACACTCATTCTTCTCAAACCCTTCCAAAAAATCGCAGAGGAACACTTTCAAATTCATTCTATGAAGCCATCACCACCCTAATACCAAAACCAAGGTTTAACAAAAAAAATTACAGACCAACATCACTGATAAACATGGATGCAAAAATCCTCAACAAAATACTACCAAACAGAATCCCACAATGCATTAGAAGCACATATACCATGACCAAGTAGGAGTTATCTCCAGGGTGGAAAGATTCTTCAATATATGCAAATCAATCGATGTCATGCACCATATTAACAAATTAAAGAATAAAATTCGTATGATCCTCTCAATAGATGCAGAAAAAGCTTCTGACAAAATTCAAAACCCACTTAAGATAAAAACTCTCCAGAAGGCAGGCAAAGAGGGAACCTACCTCAACATAGTAAAGGCCACATATGACAAACCCACAGCAACCATCATTCTCAAAGGTGGAAAAACTGAAAGCATTTCCTCTAAGATTAGGAATAAGACAAGGGTGACCACTCTCACCACTATTATTCAACACAATTTTCGAAGTTCTAGCCAGGGCAATCAGAGAAGAAAAAGAAATAAAAAGAATCCAAATTGGAAAAGAAGACATAAAAACTGTCACTGTTTGCAGATGACATAATACTATTACATTCATAGAAAATCCTAAAGATGTCACCAATTCGAGCTAATCAATGAATTTGATAAAGGTGCAGGACAAATTAATGAACAGAAATCTCTTGCATTATTAAGGAAACAATCCCATTTATCATTTTATCCAAAGAACAAAATACATACGACTAAACCAATCCAAGGAGACAAAAAAAGAAATGCAACAAGGCAAAGTGGTTGTCTGAGGAGGCCTTACAAATAGCTGAAATAAGAAGAGAAGCGAAAGGCAAAGGAGAAAAGGAAAGATACACCCAACTAAATGCAGAGTTCCAAAGAAGAGCCAGGGGACAGAAGAAAGCCTTAAATGAACAAGGCAAAAAAAAAAAAAGAAGAAGAAAACAACAGAATGTGATTTAGTGATCTCTTCAAGACAACTGGAGATACCAAGGGAATACTTCATGCAAAGATGGGCATGATAAAGGACAGAAACAGCAAGGCCCTACAGAAGCAAACTGGATTAAAAAGAGGGGGCAAGAATACAAAGAACTGTACAAAAAAGGTCTTAATGACCTGGATAACAATGATCGTGTGGTCACTCACCTAGAGCCAGATATCTTGGAATGCGAAGTCAAGTGGGCCTTAGGAAGCATCACTACAAACAATGCTAGTGTAGGTGATGGAATTTCAGCTGAGCTATTGCAAATCCTAAAAGATGATGCTGTTCAAGGCTGCTCTCAATATGCTAACAAATTTGGAAAACTCAGCAGTGGCCACAGGACTGGAAAAGGTCAGTTTTCATTCCAATTCTAAAGAAGGGCAATGCCAAAGAATGTTCAAACTACCAAATAATTGCACTCATTTCACATGCTAGTAAAATAATGCTTAAAAACCTTCAAGCTAGGCTTCAGTAGTACGTAAATCAAGAACTTCCAGATGTTCAAGCTGGATTTAGAAAAGGCAGAGGAACCAGAGATCAAATTGCCAACATCCACTGGATCATCAAAAAAGGAAGAGAGTTCCAGAAAAACATCTACTTCATCACTGACTATGTTAAAGCCTTTAACTGTGGAGCACAACAAACTGTAGAAAATCCTTCAAGAAATGGAAATACCAGAACTCCTTACCTGTCTCCTGAGAAACCAGCATGCAGGTCAAGAAGCAACAGTTAGAACCAGACATGGAACAATGGACTAGTTCAAAATTGGGAAAGGAGTACATCAAGGCTGCATATTGTCACCCTGCTTATTTAACTTCTATGCAGAGTACATCATGCAAAATGCCAGTCTGGATGAAGCACAAGCTGGAATCAAGATTGCCGGGAGAAATATCAATAACCTCAGATATGCAGATGACATCACCCTTATGGCAGAAAGCAGAGAGGAACTAAAGAGCCTCTTGATAAAAGTGAAAGAGGACAGTGAAAAAGCTGGCTTAAAACTCAACATTGAGAAAACTAAATTCATGGCACCTGGTCCCATCTCTTCATGGCAAATAGATGGGGAAACAGTGGAAACAGTGACAAATTTTATTTTTATGGGCTCCAAAATCAAGGCAGATGGTGACTGCAGCCACGAAATTAAAAAACACTTGCTCCTTGGAAGAAAAGCTATGACAAACTTAAACAGCATATTAAAAAGCAGAGACATCACTTTGTCAACAGAAGTCCATATAGTTAAAGCCATGGTTTTCCAGAAGTCACGTGTATGGATGTGAAAGTTGGACCATAAAGAAGGCTGACAGCTGATGAATTGAGGCTTTTGAATTGTGCTGGAAAATGACTCTTGAGAGTGCCCTGGACTGCAAGGGGGGGGGGGGGGGGGGCGTTTCCTGGTGGCTCAGATGGTAAAGAAACTGCAATGCAAGAGACCCAGGTTTGATCCCTGGGCCAGGAAGATCCTCTGGAGGAGGAAATGGCAACCCATTCCAGTATTCTTGCCTGGCAAATTTCATGAACAGAGGAGCCTGGTGGGCTACAGTCCATGGGGGTCACAAAAAGTTGAACAAGACTGAGCGACTAGTCACAGTGGGTGGACTGCAAGGAGATCGAACCAGTCAATCCTAAAGGAAATCAACTCCGACTATTCACTGGAAGGACTGATGCTAAAGCTCCAATACTTTGGCCACCTGATAGGAAGAGCCAACTCACTGGAAACGACCCCGATTCTAGGAAAAACTGAGGGCAGGAGAAGGGGGTGACAGAGGAGAAGATGACTGGATAGCATCATTGACTCAATGGACATGAGTTTGAGCAAACTCTAGGAGATAGTGAAGGACAGGGAAGCCTGTCATGCTGCAATCCAGGGGTGGCAAAGAGTCAGACACCACTTAGCGACTGAACAAGAATGACAATAAGGAGACAAACGATCTATATGCAGAAAACTGTTAAGACAGTGATGAAAGATATCAAAGACGACACAAACAGATGGAGAGATACACCATGTTCTTGGATAGGAAAATCAATATGGTGAAAATGATTATACTACCTAGAGCAATCTACAGATTCAATGCAATCCCGATCAAATTACCTGGCATTTTTCACAGAATTAGAACAAAAAGTTTTACAGTCTTTATGGAAACACAATAGTGGTACAGAACCCACCTGCCAATGCAGGTTAAATGTAAGAGACACAGGTTCAATCCCTGGGCCTGGAAAATGAAAATTATAGCTATATTGGCAAATTACAACTATAAACACTTACATTAAAAAGGAAGAAAGATTTCATATCAACAACCTAACTTCACAACCTAAGGAACCAGGAAAAGAATAAGGTAAACCCTCACCTATAATGGAAAAGAACATGAAAAAGAGCAGAGTATACATACATATATGTGTGTAACTAAACCACTTTGCTGGATACCAGAAACTAACACAACATTTTAAGTCAACTATACTTACTTTTAATATTCTCCCAATCCCAAAGAAAGGCAATGCCAAAGAATGTTCAAACTACCACACAATTGCACTCACCTCACATGCTAGCAAATTAATGCTCAAAATTCTCCAAGCCACGCCTCAACATTATGTGAACCAAGAACTTCCAGATGTTCAAGCTGGATTTAGAAAAGGCAGAGGAACCAAAGATCAAATTGCCAAAATCTGCTGGATCATTGAAAAAGCAAGAGAGTTCCAGAAAAACATCTACTTCTGCTTTACTGACTGCGCCAAAGCCTTTGACTGTGTGGATCACAACAAACGGTGGAAGATTCTTCAAGAGATGGGAATACCAGACCACCTGACCTGCCTACTGAGAAATCTGTATGCAGGTCAGGAAGCAACAGTTAGAACTGGACATGGAATAACAGACTGGTTCGAAATTGGGAAAGGAGTATGTCAAGGCTGTTTATTGTCACCCTGCTTATTTAACTTATATGCAGAGTACATCATGAAAAATGTCAGACTGGATGAAGCACAAGGTAGAATCAAGATTGCCGGGAGAAATATCAATAACCTCAGATACACATATGACACCACCCTTATGGCAGAAAGTGAAGAGAAACTGAAGAGCCTCTTGATGAAAGTGAAAGAGGAAAGTGATAAAGCTGACCTAAAACTCAACATTCAAAAAACTAATATCATGGCATCCGGTCCCATCACTTCATGGCAAATAGATGGGGAAACAAAGAAAATAGTGACAGCCTTTATTTTCTTGGGCTCCAAAATCACTGCAGATGGTGACTGTAGCCATGAAATTAAAAGACACCTGGTCCTTGGAAGAAAAGCTATGACCAACCTAGACAGCATATTAAAAACCAGAGACATTACTTTGCCAACAAAGGTCCGTCTAGTCAAGGCTATGATTTTTCCAGTAGTCACGTATGTATGCGAGAGTTGGACCATAAAGAAAGCTGAGTGCCGAAGAATTGATGCTTCTGAACTGTGGTGTTGGAGAAGACTCTTGAGAGTCCCTTGGACTGCAAGGAGATCCAACCAGTCCATCCTAAAGGAAATCAGTCTTGAATATTCATTGGAAGGATTGATGTTGAAGCTGAAACTCCAATACTTTGGCCACCTGATGCAAAGAACTAACTCACTGGAAAAGACCTGGATGCTGGGAAAGATTGAAGGCAGGAGGAGAAGAGGATGACAGAGGATGAGATGGTTGGATGGCATCACTGACCGGATGGACATGAGCTTGAGTAAACTCCGGGAGTTGGTGATAGACAGGGAGGCCTGGTGTGCTGCAGTCCATGGAGTCACAAAGAGTCAGACACAACTGAGCGACTGAACTGAACTGAAAGGAAAGAAAGCTAAACCTAAAGCTATCAAAAGAAACAAAATAAGACTAAAGCAGAGATAAACAGAAAACTGAAACAAAAAAACAGAAAAATCAAGAAAGCCAAAGGTAGTTCTTTGAAAAAATTAACAACTGACAGACCCTACCCAGATGAACTGAGGGAAAAAGAAGACTCAGATACTAAACAGTTAAAGCATGGGCATTACTGCCAATTCTACAGGAAAAAAAGGATTAGAAGAGAGCACTGTGAGCAAATGTACACCAACCAGTTGGATAACCAGATGAAGTGCAAATTCCAAAAAACACAAAATCTAAACCACCAAAAAACAGAAAGTCCAAATAACCAGTAAGGGGCTTGGCGGAGGGGCAATGGGAAGCTATCATTAACAGCTGCAGACTTTCAGGTGTTTTCTTTCAGTTTCACCAAGACATAATTTACACACAGCTCTGTGCAGAGTTCCAGTTTTCAAGGTGAAGACAGTCCCTGAGATGGACAGTGATGATGCCTTCACAACGATATGAAAGTACCTCGCAGTACAGAACTGTACACTTAAAAATGATCAAGATGATAGATTTTATATTGTGCATATTTTATATATTTTAAAGAGAGAAAAGAAAAACAAACAGGCTCTGTTCCTAACACTACAGAATTAAAGGCAATGATAAAAGTCTGAAGGGAGACAAACAAGCACAACATTTGCTCAGTAAAAACACGCTCCTGACGAAAACCACATCTACATCACAGCCCCGTTTTCCATCAAAAGAAGTACGTTATTTTCAACCTCTATGGATGAACTGGTAGTTTTTTGGTCACTTGGGTTATGTGGATCCAAATGCCATGTGGATGAAAAGGTAACTTTTTAGTCTTCTGGTGTTCATTTTACAAAACCAGAAGAAAATGACAGTCAACAAGAAATTATAAGACAGAAATCAACTAAGAAGGCTCTAAACATCATAAAGGAGATCCCGGCAGGGGGACCAGTCCAATTCCAGGCTGCAAAGGTCACCAGGAGGGGCTGTGGCCAGGGGCCCGTTGCAGCCAGCAGTGCTGGGTCACTGACGTGGGCAGAGCAGGGCCTCGGAACACGGCCCTAGTTGTCAGGCCCAGGGCAACGAGAATGCACAGAGGGACAGCTCAGTACCCAGCAGCGCTGTCAGCAGACACGCGCGTCCAGAGGAACGGCGCGCCGCGCCGTGGTGCACAGCGGTGGGTGGAGGGGAAGAGCTGAGCCAGGTTCCACGCAGGGGTCAAGCAGCATGAACACGTGGAGACCAGACACCAGGGGAGGGGGGAAGGGCTCAGACCACCCTGAGGCTGCTGGCTGGGATGCTGGTGGCCGTGACAAAGCCAGCCCCGGACCAGCTCTCGGGGGCAGAGCACGAGGAGGCTCTGCCCCGGGGACGGCTGACACGGAGCACTCTTCTTCATGCCGACGAGGTACTAGGACAGGACTCTGAAAGGGCCACTCACATTCCTGCCGCCCCCTCACCACCGCCTCAGCCCCAAGGGCTCCTCCAGGCCCGACCTTCATCAGGGCTGGGTCTCCAGGGCTTGGCCGCCCCCAGCCTCCTGCCTGGGAGCTGCTCCCTCCGGGACCTCTCCTGCGCCTGGCAGGGTCCCGCGAGCCACGTCGCAGCAGAGGGAAGAGCGCGCATCCCTCCCCACGTGCGCTTGTTCAACTCTCCATCTGTCCCTTGGTCCCAAAATATTCAGAACCACACTCTACCAGCCCTTATCTACTCAGCAGACCACCCATCCACGTTCAAAGAAGACCCTAACCCGAACCACACCTCTCACCCACTCTGGGTGGGCCCACAAAACACGCCGCCCCAGGACAGCTGAAACCCCCCACAACACAAGCAGGCTGAGGAGACACGTCCGCCGGCGGCTACCTGAGAAGATGTTCTTCAGGTTCTCCACGGCGGCGGCAAGCTGGCTGTGCCGCACGACTGCGTCCTTCACGTCCTTGAGGCTCTCGATGGTGTTGATGCTCTGCCTCCAGTCCTTGCTGACGTCCGCCAGGGACTGCTGGATGGCCCTGACGTCATTCAGCGCGCTATGGAGCTGGCTCAGGCCCGTGCGCACGCCGTCCAACTGTGACTGGATTGCAGCCTAGGGAAGATACCCGGGGTGAGCAGAGTCAGGCTGGACCTGGAGGCTCATAGAAGAGAGGCGCTGTAGTGACAGAGAACAGTCACTAAACACAACAGTAATGTCTGTAAGCTTTGTTGAGAAAACCTCCTAACACTCCTCATGCAGCCCTTGGCCTGAAAATGCTAGACTCCACTGTGGGAATGCCCTGGGTCCCATGGCCCCCCTTAAATGGTCCCCTAGGACTCTGCACACCATCTCACAGGCATCCTCAGCTTCCTAACAGGCCTGATCTAAATGGAGAAATAGTCAGGATTTGTCATTAACTTGAGTGGAGAGGGCTTTCCTGCCATTCAAGCCACAACCAGACTCCGCCCCAGGATGGCTGGGCCCCAGACGCAAAACTGGTGCATCCGAGATTCAGACTCACTCTGAGGGCCCATGGACGTGCCGCCCAGGGAGCCGCACAGTCAGTCAGAAGGGAGAGAGCATGAAGGAGCAGCAGCAGGTGGATGGCAATAGGAAGGGAAAGACAGGGCAGCACAGTGGAAGTCAGGAACACCTATCACCCATGAGTCATCAAGTAGCACTTAAAAATAACTAATGATTTCAACAGACCACACAACTGCTAGTTCATCCATGAGTTTCTAGAAGAGATTAAAATTCTGAATAAAAATGTAGCAGGTCTAAACTATTTTTTAAATTGATACAAAACTGCTTCAAGTTAGTCCAACAGGTCTTTGGCTGCTTTGCTTTGCAAATCAATGACCCACATCCTGTCTCGTCAAACCTGCCATTAACCTGGGCACCAATGTTTTCAACTAGACAGGCAACCTCACTATCATATCAGTGCGAGAATTAACCTTCCTCAAATGCACTCTCTTAAATCCTCAAGACTGTTGTGCGGCCAGTCAGTAGGCCATGGTCTTAACATTTTTATAACTATACCAGGCAAGCATTGTTTTAATAAAACCCAATTTCTCCACATGAATTAAGTTGAAAGCCAATCCAAATCATAAAAGATTGACTTTGTTTCTTGCCTCATTTTCACACACACTAACAAACGTATAGAGCTCTCTTCCTTCCTGCCACGAGGCCAACAGAATGCCTGGTTCACAGTCAGCATACTAAAGCGTGTGCTAGACGGACCCAAACAAAATGTTCTCTGGACATACTCTGTGGAAGAGCATTTACCAAAGAAGAAAAACCGTTACGCTGCTAGTGTTTTTTAAAAAGCTTAATGGACACTTCTGGATGCTTAAAGGGGTTGTTCCTTTGGTGTTTTCAACATCCCCCTGTCTAATTTGTCAATCTACTAACCGGCAATATATTATTGGAAAAAAACGTGCTAAATCAAGGTAATGTTCAAGTCTGCCTTCTTCCACATCCTCATAACGTCCAATCAGGCAAAGTTATAACTTTGTTAAAGGAACTTGAAACTCAAGATAAAAGGCCCTGTCCCGCTGGGGAGTGCAGCAGGTGCTGATGGCCACTCTGACCTCGTACCTTTAATCTGGCCTCCACAGAGGCCTTCTTCCGGGCCTCTCTTCTGCGATACTGCTCCACTTTGTCCAGCTGGTCCGGGCGCTGCAACATTCCAGCAACCCTCTGGACTGCTGTCGCGACAGCCTCCCGATCAGTCTCCTTCATGGTTACAAAGCAGGGAGGATCTCTGCACCTGTCATACTAGAGGCATCCTGTGTCCACAGCTAGATGGGGAACGGTGAGGGGGGATATGTTAGGAAGGTAGAAACGTTAGTGACAAAACTTACCCCCTCCACCAACAGTCAGCTGTCCACAGCAGAGCTGTAAGGAGAGCATCTGGGATCATTAACCCAGTAAACCTGAAAGCAGAACTAGGATTATGAACTCCTGGATAAGAAACAAACTTTCAGAAGTCAATTTTACCTTAAAGTGGAGCAGGGGCAATTACAGGCAAAAAATATTAGCATATGGAGGAATCCAAATTACTGACATCAGACGTCAGTCTCCGGGGCACTTCTCTCCCCCAGACAGGTCCCCTTTCCCATTTCCAGAGCCTTCACACCCGCCCTGAACTCCCTTGAGGGGCGGCTGTGCAGGAAGCCCCGGTGAAGACGCGGAGACCCAGGGCCAGCATACACCTCGCCATCCCCGCGCAAGTTTCAGCACCCACCCTACGATTCGCCTCAAAAATCACCACCTGTAGAGTCTCAAATCCCACGTCTTACTATTTAACAGCCCTAGTGAACAGGTGAGCGCGCAAACGACGCTCTCCTCAGGATAACGCACTCCTGCCTTCGCGCCGGCTCTACCAAAATCCGAGCCGGGGAGCTCGGTGAGCGTCCGGCAAAGGAGAGAGCGGACATCTTTAGTCAGCCGCCCGTTTCCATGCCTGTTTTCCGTGCACGTATCTCCAAGACGCTCCCCATTCCCTCCGCAAACGCTCTCAGAGCAACACCCAAGTCCCCGTAGACTCTGAGGGGCGGGACCCGAGTGCCTCTGGCGCCCTCACGGACCTGGGCTGGGGCGCCGTGTCTCCTCGCCCCCTTTCCGGGCCCTAGGTTGCGCCGGGTCCGGGGCGCCCGAGGCGGCCGCGGGTCTCCCGGCCGCCGCCCGGGCGCTCAGGTCCACACCCGCTCCCTCCTCCTGGCCTGGAGCGGCGTCGGCCCCGTCACGGACGCGAGCCTCTTGATGCGACTCAGCCGACCCCGGGACCCACCCCCCGGCCGCCCTCACCGCCTCCTGGCCGCGCCCGCACCTGCTGGAGCCGGGGAAAGGGGCGGCGGGCGGGGACCGCGACCGCCACCCGGCCGCCACAGCTTGCCGCAGCCTCACCTCGCGGGTCACCACCGCCGCCTCCGCCACCTCCACAGCCTCCACCAACCCCACAGCCTCCACCGCCCGGAAGTGAGCCCTTGGCTGGCACTTCCGCTTCCTGCTTCTAGACTGGGAGGGCGGGGCCTGGCGGCTCGGACGCGGGGCCCGGGGCGCGCGGGCTCAGTGACTGTGAGGGCTGGCTGCGCCACGGTGCGCGCAAGACCAGAGCGGGCAGAGCGGGGCTGCGGCGCGCGCACACCCCGCACACACGTAAACACACACACAGACACTACCCACACATAGATAGACACATAAACACACAACAGACGCCCCACAGACACGTATCACATATAGACATGCCACACACATAAATGCAGACGCCACACCACATGCACACACCACACACGCTTGAGCACACAGACCCAGTCAGCATGTGTGCAAAGGCCTGGGCTCACAGAGGCAGGGGGCCAGGGAGGAGGTGTGTGAGCCCCTGCCTGTGGCCATGCCAACCGGAACCTACAGTCGGCAGACAGCAGATCCCTCTCCAAGGGCCAGGACTTCAGCGCCTGACTGGCTCTGAGGACTGATCCCTCTGTTATTTCATCTGTCCCTAATAATTTGTGAAAATATAGCACCATGCTGCATCAGGAAGATCCCCTGGAGAAAGAAATGGCAACCCACTCCAGTATTCTTGCCTGGAGAATCCCCATCTGCAGAGGAGCCTGGCGGGCAACAGTCCATGGGGTTGCAAAGAGTCGGACCAGCTGAGTGACTGAACACTAGAGGAACAAAGAATGTAAACAGAAATTATAATTATGCTTGAAGTTCTGACTGTACAGGCATTTTGAAACATCCTCAGTGCAAGAGTGGACGAGGGAAAACAAACAACAGAACCCCAAAAAGCAATGTCTCCCAGGTGCTGGGGTCTCTGGGTCAGGAGAGGATCCCAAGAAGACAGAGCTGGGAGCCTGTGCCTACCTGGGTTTGGTGCCCTCCTCAGCGGAGAAGCTCTCTCGGAAAGGCAGCACTCAGCAGAAGACACCAGGAGCGGTTATTGAAAGGCCCCAGCCCGGCGGACTAAAGAAGGGAGCAAGGTACGTCTCTGAAGCATCCTGAGAGAGTGGAGATCTTGTTAAGCTGTAGCTTACACTTTGTTAAATACAAAGAGAAAGTGCAAGCAGTGCCACAGTAATACTAGGAAAAGAAAAGCTGATGGATCATTGGTAACTAAAACACAAAAGGAGGAGTGGAAACATGTTCAGATATATTGATTATCAGGACACAAGTTTAAAACAACTAGTTATTGTAAGAAAAACATGGAAAACATGAAGAAACAGGATGGTTAAGTTTGGAGGAGGTTTGCGCACCAGCTAGTCTGGACCCGAAAAAGCGGTTGTGGTGATGTTAATACCAGACAAATGGGCTTTATGTCAGAGGCACTGCCAGAGAGAGTTATTTTAAGATACAAACACATAAACCACCAGGAAAAAGATAGTTTGCTGTGCCAAGATTTTAAACTCTTGTGTCTATTTTAGTCCTTAAAGAAAAAGACAAGACATAGATTGAGAGAGAAACTTTAACTGACAAAGTGCAGCTATCCTGAATTTTAAAATAACGCCCATGGTTCAACTAAAAACAGCAAACAAGTGCAGGGCAGACAGCAGAGGACCTTTCACCTCTCTGGGGAAGAAATCAAGATGAGGGTACCTCGCGGCACCAGCATGGTCTTTGTGAAGGCTGGGGGCCCTTGCCTCCCTACAGCCTATCTGGCCTTCAGACCACCGCCCAGGTTCATCTCCACTGCAAGCCCTCTGGTGGCCCCCTCACCCAGACCTGCCTGTGACCCGCCACCCCTGCCTGACTTCTTCCCCGCTCTCTCCCCACCCTCTCACTCCAGCTTCCTCCACACACGATCTGTATGGTTCCTGTCAAGTCTTGGCCCAAAGCCGCCTTGCCCACAAAACAACCACCTGGGTCACCAGGCCCCAGCTGACCCACCTGAGCAGCACCCAGCCCCTCCCCACATGTCACAGAACCTACACAGTCCTTTGGTCACCTGTCTATCCCCTGTCCCCTGGATATGTGCACAGGGACCTCGGCTTCAGCAACCTGATTTCTGCATCTTTTCTTCCCCAGTGTGTCCCCAGCACTGTCCCCACTGCTGCTGCTAAGTCGCTTCAGTCGTGTCCAACTCTGTGCGACACCATGGATGGCAGCCCACCAAGCTCTTCCGTCCACAGGATTCTTTAGGCAAGAATACTGGAGTGGGTTGCCCTTTCCTTCTCCACAGCGCTGTCCCAGGACCTGGCATCCAGCAGGGACTCAACAAGCAGCAGAGTGAAGGAAGGAGATGCACATGAAATAGCTGAGTGCCCCCTCACGCCTCAGAGATACCCTGCGACCTGGAAGCCGGCCTTCAGCAGACCCTGCTGCCACTCAGGTCTCAGACTCCCAGCCTCCGAAGCTGTGAGAAAGAAATGCTTGTTGTCCATAAGCCACCCAGCCTCTGGCGTCTTCATTCTACAGCCTGGAATGGGCTGTGCGGAGGCTGTGCAGGGTCCCTCGGGTGCCGTGGGGGATGCCTGGGCAGCGCCTGGTGAGGGGAATGCCATCAGCACCTCGGGGGGCGTCCTCAGTCCCCCGGAAGCACAGAGGGAGAGGGGCGGCCACTGGGCAAGCGGAAGTCTGGAGACAACCCACACGTCCACTGGCGGCAGGCTGGGTAGTGGGAGAGGCATGCGGTAGGGTGACGCCCGCCTCCAGGTCTCCCCATGATGAGACTGAAGAACACAGGGAGAGGAGGCGGGTGTGGGGATGGCAGGCTGGGTCGCTGGCCCCCAGGGCTGGGGAGCGGCTGGCTGGGACCCAGCAGGCGGGGGCAGGCTGGCCTGGTCTCCCCAGGAGGGACACAGAGCCGTGGAGCAGGGCCGAGGTGATGGCCTGTAGGATGCAGGAAGGGGGCTGGGCCGGGCTGGACTGGCACCGGGGCAGACCCTAGTGCCGTACGGGGTGCTGGGCGCTTGTTCGGAGGTGCTCTGCGATCAAATGAAGGAAATGAAAACACGACGCACTTGACCCTGGGGGGCAGGTCTCTGCCTGGGCCTGGATGACCTCCCTTGACCCTGGGTGGGGGGGTGGCCTCTGCTTGGGCCCAGATGACCTCCTGGCCCTTGCCACGCACTTGTCCCTGGGTCCTGGGCAGGGTGGGGCTGACCCTACAAGACATATGTGACATTGGGCCAAGCATCTGCTCCTCACAGCACAGTTTGAGTCCAGGGTGTCCCCCAACCCTCATTGCTGGGCAGGAGGGTCGGGCAGGAAAGGGAGGGGGTCTCCTCCTGTGGCCCCAAGTCCACTCTTGCTCTTATAGCGGCCCCGAGTCTGGTGGCAAAGGACAGTCTTACAATGTAGTCTTAGCCTACACACACTTTAAAGGAAACAAAATATTTCATTTGGAGAATCAATAAGATGTTTCCATTTACAGTAAACACATACAGCATATGAGTTATTTTACAACGATATCATAAATTTAATACAAACCACAGTATCAGAAATGTATTTGGAAGCTCTTTCTAAAGGCACTGAGGAAATATACAAAAGTACAAAAGTTGTATTGTAGTGTATCTGTTTTTAACAATTCAACAAGTCTGTCTAGATATTAAAAACTTTTTTCATCCAATAGAAACTACAAAAATATATAAGTTGTGTTTATCTCCTCCCTTCCATCCCATTCTTACATCATCTTTGATTTTAATATTTTTCAGCTATATAGGCAAAAGCTACCAGCAACAGAAAATACAGGCCTGAAATCAGTACTGTTACCTGACATTTTAAAGCAGGAACGGCCACATCTACAGAAGTGGCCACATCTGACATTCCACATTCCATCATCACCTTCCGCACACAGTTTCTCAGGGGGCAGGGCTGTAAAATGACAAAGTGCTGACTGAGGCAGGTTCTGTTCGTGCTGTCCCAGCACGTTAGGACCTGGGCCTCCAGCGTGATAGCGTCTCGAGCACGAAGCAAGCGCTGATGTCCAGGTGCTGAATTCTGCATCAACAAAGTGTGACTCGCCACACACCTGCTGGGACCAACTTGGTGCACGTAGTCCAGGGGAGCAGGTGCATCTGAACGCTCAGGCACCACGGCCTTGAGGGCAGACTGCTGCGCCTCCTCGAGCCACAGCTATCCTTCGCTGGGTTCCGGCTACAGTGTGCAAACATGCAATGACGCCTCTCCACTCCATCTTTCTGGTCCAGGGTTTCACACATGCAGACTGCTGGCTACCACGCCGAGACAGGAAGGGGTACCCCTGTGCGGAGGGTGAGTTTGAGGACCCTCCCTCCACAGAGGGAGCTGCAGAGAGGCTGACAGTCACTTCTGAGAGATGGTACAGTGCTTCCTTGAGGAGCTGGGCACTTGGCATGAATAGAAAGGAAGGAGGCAGTTTCTGAAATTCCACCCCATGTCTTAGGGATGAAATCTACACGGTGGGCTGGGCTCAGCATGAGAACCAAGCAGAGAGGGGTGCTGAGCTGGCAGCGGAGGGGGTGGGGGGTAGGAAGCAGGTGGTCCTGACAGGCGGCTATGCTGCCATCACAACAGGGGAGGGGGAGACTCTGGCAAGGGTGGGGGGCAGCACGGCACCAACGTCACTTTCTGCAAGGGCCCCCAGGGGGGTGGGCAGGGAAGAGAAGGCTGCTGGGCAGGCCCTGGGGATCCCATGAGGCCATGAATTGACCACACCCGACCCGGGCTCTGACTGGTAACTTCTGTCACTCTGGGAAGAGACCTTCCACCCCACCACACCCCTGGGGAAGCCCTTCCAAGAAGAAGAGCTCCGAGGGGTACGGGCGCCCCCAGGCATGCCTCAGTCCGCCAGGCCCAGTCCTGCCGCCCCATCCTGAGTTGACAAGGTGAATGCAGATAGCTTCACCAACTCAGGAGCTGAACGCTGACACCCCAAAGCCAACAGATGACAGGAAGAACCCTTGCTGAACACGGTGGGACTGCAAGTCCCCGCTGGGGCTCCTGCAGGTCCTGAGACTCGGGGCAGGGGGTGACCGAGGACAGATGCTCGCGCCGCAAGGAGGAGGGGCCTACAACCCCCTTCCTCCTGCCCCGTGGTGGCTCTGGAGTCACATCCTGCAGGGACTGCACCTGTGGGGTCTGCACCTGTGGGGTGGGGTCTCCCGGAAGGTGTGGGGAACTTTGCCCTTAGCCATGAGCTATCCGTGGTGACTGCGGGTGGCCTTCGCTTTCTGATTTCTTCTTTTGCACCTATATTTCCTACGTTCAGAATGTGTTCCCTTCAAAATTTTTTTCTTTTTTTCTGGCCACATCCTGCGGCATGTGGAATCTTAGTTCCCTGACCAGGGATCGAACCCACACCCCCTGCAGGCATTTAACCGCAGGACCACGGGGGAAGTCCCCACGATTTTTTCCTTTTTATAAAATGCTGCCTGTCTGTCTCGTCTCGACTAATTCCTTCTGGCATGATGATCAGAGCCATCTGAAGACCTGCAGTCAGCAAGACAGCCTGACACCTGGATCAACTCCTTCCTTGCCCTCATGCTGTGCTTCTGGACTCCAATCCAGACCCTGTGCATTCCAGGCTACGTGATGCAACGGGGGCAGATGAGCACGGACCCCTTTCGAAGGCCGCTGAAACACCAGAGAGACTGCAGAAGAACCACACAAGATCTGGCCAATCCTCCCTCCGGGCCGGCCTCGGCCTAGGCCAGTGTTTCAAGCACGCACTGCCTGTTAGAGTGGAGGGCGGCCCGGTGCCATCAGCCTCTTCTGGCTGAACTTCTAGATTCCTCCCAGGCACGAGCACGTGGCCACCTGCCATTCAGTAAGCATTACTCCCAATTAGCTGTCTTGGCAGTGGGCCGCCAGGGTGTGGCTGTTCCCCGAGGTCTGCTCCCTTCGAGGCGCCAGGGAGATGACCTGGGGTGGGGGTGGGGAGCTGTGCTCCTCAGAGGAGAACCCTGCCACCCTTGAGCAAACTGATGACCACCCTGCACTTAAGACCTTCAGTGAACTTGCTATTGCACGTGCTTCCCTCGGGGAAGGCTCGGGCCGGAGCGCTGTCCGCGGGGCCCAGCTGGCTCCAGGACCAGCAGCTCTAGGGCAGGAAGGCGCACTGCGCGTCCCTGGGGGGCATCCCCATGGCTGGGGCACTCTTGCAGAATAGCCCAGGAGGCCCGCCCTGGCCGTGAGCCGCCCACAAGGGAGAGTCCAGGGGCTCGAGCTTGACTGTGGGGGCCGGCCCGGGAGCCCGGCAGTTGCAGCCCAGGTTGGGGGGCTGGTGGCCCCGTACACAGAGGCAGGGCGGGGGCTCTAGACAGGCACAGGAGGTGGGGTGCAGCGGGGCCAGCCCCCTGCTGGGTCTAGGGGGGGCGCCCAGCAGGCCAGGCCCGGGGGGTGCACTGTACAGGGGGTGCCTGGCGCCCGGCTCCATCTTCAGGTGCATCCTAGTTGGGAAGGTGACCAGCTGTCTCTTGGCCAGGTCGCCAGCCCCCAGCCACACCTGGGTCGGGGACACGCAGTAGCCGTCTGCCGCGTCCTCGGACCCCGAGTCACTCTCCATCTTGATGGGCACGTCGAGTGACAATGTGGGGTGACTTGGGGCTCCCGGGGGCATCAGAAGGCCTCGCAGCTTGTCCTCAGCTGGGTAGCTGCCCGCTGGGAGACGCTGGACTGCCAGCCGAGGGACCCTGTTGTCCAAGCCCCCGTGGGGGAAGGGGCCAGGGGTGGGTGGCGGCACTGGACCCTGGTGTCCATCACGAAGGGCTCTGCTGGTCCGGCCGGCACAGGCCCCGGGGGGCAGCCTGGGTGGGTGAGAGCCGGGTGAGCTCCGAAGGGTGTGCACGGCACCCTGCGTGCCCGGGTAGGGCAGGCAGGCGCTGCGGGCCGGGGCGGTGGGGAACGGGTTGGCCTTGCCCGGCTCCAGCTTCAGCTTGGCACTGCCACCGTCCTGACCGTGCCTCCCGGCTGGCCAGTCCAAATGCTTCACAGGGCCCAGGGGCTCCAGGCAGCAGCTGCATGGGGGTGCGTCCCGCGGGACCCCCCCGAGCTCCTCTCCTTCCCCGGCCCTGGAGGAAGGGACGCCCGTCAGACAGGACAGGGCGCGGGGGGGACCCTGCATTGGGCAGGTGCCGGCTGCAGCCTCAGGACCCCGGGCCAGCCCCCTCCCTCCCTGAAGGGCCCCTCCACAGTCCCCCAGCACCCGGGGGGTGGGGCAGGGGGGCTGGGTTGGGAGCGAGGGGAGAGGGCTTCTGAGCGAAGGTGAGGACAGAGGCTGGGGAGTCAGTGTCCCCCGCCAGTCCTCACGCAGTGAGGACAACCTCCAGGGCGAGGAGCGGCTGTGGGTGCCCTCCGTGTGTCCCCCGTCCCACCCAGGGAGGCTCAGCTGCAGAGGGCGAGGGCCGCTGATCCTGTGACTCTGTCACTTACCCTGCGGCGCCATCGGGGTCAAGGACAAGGTCAGGGCCGCCCCGGAGGCACAGGCAGGGGCCCCGGGCTGTGACCCGGCCCCAGCGGCAGGCGTCCTCTGGCGTCCTGAACAAGGAGAGGCCGTTTTCTCCATTGCTTCTCCCTGTCAGGATTTGGAAAAGCGAGGCTGAGCAGTGTCTGGAGCGGGTGGACACTCATCCTCCGCACAGGTGACAAAGTGCTCGTGAGACCGGCTCCGCCCACCCACCCCAAGCTGCAGACAGCTTCGAGCCGCCACCCCACCTCCAGGGATACGGTCATTTCACCTGTTTGAAAAGGTGGTAGAGACAACTGTGATGAGTACCTGCTAAGTAATTGGGTTTTCCGTGCAATTCTGATTCGCAGAGACTTGAGGCAGCTTTTGCTCTGCAAAGGACAGAAAAGCGCAAGGCAACAAGTAGATTAAATGTGTGTTGAGGGCAGAAATTACACACGACGGGTGTTGCTGCCACCCAGGAGCAGAAGATACGGTAACTCCCAGTGTGAAAGTCTGCAGAGATTGGATCATCTTCTCTCAGTTACAGACTTGCTGGAAATTCCAATTCACCTCACTTTTCAGGCCAGTGAAGCACTAATGAATTTCCTTCAGAAAACAGACATACACTGCTGCCAGAATGGGTTTCGGCGTGTTTGCTCTCTTCTGGATGGTCAGGATGAAGACGCAGATCCCTGTGACCTGCGGTAGTTACTTGCAGTAGTTTACAAAGTCACTGTGAGCACTAAGTTAGTGCCACTGAACCACTGCCCACACACACACACACACACACCTGTGTCTCATAGAACTTACAGTCAGAGATCCTAAGGCAACTTGCAACTTATCCCACAGATCATATTTTCTTTATATGTCAAAAGAAAAAGACGAGGCTCTGAAGTGTTAAGCAACTTGCCTGAAGCTGCCCCGACAGCAGGAGTGGGATTCAAACCCTGGCCAGCTGGTCCCACAGCCAGAGCTTCCTGCCCTGCAGTGGCCCTGACTCTGCATCTCATGGGCATCTCTGCAGGAGCTGAGACAGAGACAGAGGAAGAGACAGAGACATGGGAGAGACAGAGATGGAGGCCGAGACAGAGGAGGAGACAGAGACAGAGGAGAGACGGACCCAGAGACACAGCAGTGACAGGACAGAGGTGGAGAGCATGCAGCTCACACACAGGACCCGTGAACATTCAGGAGCGAGGCTGTGTCACAAAGGCCCCTTCAGGAAGAATTGCAAAGAACCTGAACTGGGTCCAGCGAGCACGATGCTCCATCCAGAGCCAGCTTCCTGGGCCTCAGACTCCCCAGGTTCACGCCTCACGGCCTCTGAGCTCAGAGGGGAATGGACGGGAGGAGGTGCTGCAGCAAGGAGTTGAGTTCAGGGCAGAATTGGGCTCCAGAAAACCCAGAAGGCAACAGAACCTTCTTTCCCAAAATGTTCAAGGGCTCTTCCTCTCTTCCAATTTTTGTCTTTATTTTTTAAAATTTTTGTTTTTTAAATTTTTGCAATTTTGGCTTCTGCCACACAACAACGTGAATTGGCCATAATTATATATATATCCCCTCCATTTCCCCCAGCCGAACCTAGAGCTTGTTATTCAGTGAAGTGAGTCAGATCAAGGAAAATAAATATATATTAACGCATATATGGGAAATCTAGTAAAATGGTACTGATGACCCTATCTGCAGGGAAGGCCTGGAGATGCAGATGCAGAAAATGGACTTGTGGACACAGTGGGGGAGGGAGAGGGGAGACCGACGGAGAAGACCGCGTCCACATACATGCACCATCCAGTGTCAAATGGAGAGCGGACGAGAAGTTGCTCTGTTGACACAGGGCGCAGAGCCTGGCACTCTGTGACAATCTCCCTGAGTTTTAATGCTGTTTTTACAACGTATTTCTAGTATTTGCTGCACAGTCCCCTTCTGTACAGTGTCCTAGCCTCACCGTGAAGACCCTCGCCAGCCCTCCAAGGGACATCCAGGTGTCCACACCGCCCAGGCAGCAGCAGGTAGTCCGGGAGTCCACACCCACTGCGAAGGCTTCCCCATCTGCGCTTCCCCGTGTGGCCGCCAGGGGACAGCAAGCCTCCTGGAGAAGCGATCAGTCAGTTCAGTTCAGTCACTCAGTCATGTCTGACTTTTTGCGACTCAATGGACTGCAGCATGCCAGGCCTCCCTGTCCATCACCAACTCCTGGAGCTTACTCAAACTTATGTCCATTGAGTCGGTGATGCCATCCAACCATCCTCTGTCGTCCCCTTCTCCTCCTGCCTTCAATCTTTACCAGCATCAGGGTCTTTTCAAATGAGTCATCTCTTCACATCAGGTTGCCAAAGTATTGGAGTTTCAGCTTCAACATCAGTCCTTCCAATGAACACTCAGGACTGATTTCGTTTAGGATGGACTGGTTTGAACTCCTTGCTGTCCAAGAGACTCTCAAGCGTCTTTTCCAACACCACAGTTCAAAAGCATCAATTCTTTGGCGCTCAGCTTTCTTCATAGTCCAACTCTCACATCCATATATGACTACTGGAAAAACCATAACTTTGACTAGCAGATCTTTGTCAGCAAAGTAATGTCTCTGCTTTTTAATATGCTGTCTAGGTTGGCCATAGCTTTTCTTCCAAAAAGCAAGCATCTTTTAATTTCACGGCTGCAGTCACCATCTGCAGTGATTTTGGAGTCCAAAAAAAATAAAGTTTCTCACTGTTTCACTTCCCTGATAACTCAGTTGGTAAAGAATCTGCCTGCAATGCAGGAGACCCTGGTTTGATTCCTGCGTCAGGCAGATCCACTGGAGGAGGGACAGGCTACCCACTCTAGTATTCTTGGGCTTCCGTTATGGCTCAGCTGGCAAAGAATCCACTTGCAAAGTGGAAGATCTGGGTTTGATCCCTGGATTGGGAAGATCCCCTGGAAAAGGGAAAGGCTACCCACTCCAGTACTCTGGCCTGGAGAATTCCATGGACTATATAGTCCATGCGGTCACAGAGAGTTGGACACAACTGAGCAACCACTTACTTTCACTGTTTCCATTGTTTCCCCATCTATTTGCCACGGAGTGATGGGACCAGATGCCGTGATCTTAGTTTTCTGAATGTTGAGCTTTAAGCCAGCTTTTTCACTCTACTTTTTCACTTTCATCAAGAGGCTCTTTACTTTTTCTTTGCTTTCTGCCATAAGGGTGGTGTCATCTGCATATCTGAGGTTATTGATATTTCTCCTGGTAATCTCATTCCAGCTTGTGCTTCATCCAGCCTGGCATTTCACATGATGTACTCTGAATATATGTTAAGTAAGCAGGGTGACAATATAGAGCCTTGGGTACTCCTTTCCTGATTTGGAACCAGTCTGTTGTTCCATGTCTGGTTCTAACTGTTGCTTCTTGACCTGCACACAGATTTCTCAAAAGACAGGTCAGGTGGTCTGGTATTCCCAACTACTGAAAAATTTTCCACAGTTTGTTGTGATCCACACGGGCAAAGGCTTTAGCGTACTCAATAAAACAGAAGTAGATGTTTTTTGCTGGAACTTTCTTGCTTTTTCGATGATCCAACAGATATTGGCAATTTGATTTCTGGTTCCTCTGCTTTTTTTATATCCAGCTTGAACATCTGGAAGTTCTCGGTTCACATACTGTTGAAGCCTGGCTTGGAGGATTTTGAGCATTACTTTGCTATGGAGAAGTGATAGAGGGAGGATTTTCCTTCCATCTGATCACAGGGCTGGGAATTTGAAAGTGCAGCGTGTGGGCTCAGTCACCGTCGCCAGCCCAGAGAATGTGAACACACGGAGGACTCTGAGAGACAGAGGCAGGTGGAGAGTGTCGGGTCTGGGGTGTGGGCAGGGCCATCCAGCTGGCCAGCGGCCGGGGCTCCCTGCCCACAAGACACGCCCAGGTGTGTTGGGGGGTGCAACCTCTGTGCTTTGTCGCGCCTCATGTTTTGGTCACTTCATCAGTTATTTCTACAGTTTTTTCCCATGAGTATCCTGTTTTTCCTCCCTCTTATTTTACATTTTCTACCTTTAAAAAAAAAGCATACATATTTAATTTTTAAATGCTCCAGAAAACTGCTGCCTTAGCATGCGGGCCCGTGGGACCTGGAAGCTGTGATGAGGTGCCTATGCCTGAAGGCAGCAGTCCCCCGCCCCCACCATGAACCCCAGGCAGCAATGGGAGGTTTCCTGGTCCTGTGAACTGGAGCTGAGTCCAAGGGGGAACCTGAGTGCTGAGGAGTGACAGAGAAGTGGGCTGGGGTCTTGCGTCTCCTGATATTCTGTCCCTGGGCAGGGCACAGCGGAGGGTACTGAGGAAGAAGACGGACAGACCTCCGACACGTCCCCCTCCCCAGGGCCTCCTCACATAGCAGGAAACACAGTTTACAGGCACACAGCATCTTAACCTGTCCCAGAACCTGACCCACACAACACAGATCTAACCGTTCCAGAGACTATAGTTGGGAATGTCCTAGAACACCTAACTTTATAAAAGTGAAAGTGTTAGTTGTTCAGTCATGTCCAACTCTTTGCAACCTGATGGACTGTAGCCCGCCAGGCTCCTCTGTCCATGGGATTCTCCAGGCAAGAATACTGGAGTGGGTAGCCGTGCCCTCCTCCAGGGCATCTTCCTGACCCAGGGATCGGGCCCAGGTCTCCTGCATTGCAGACAGATTCTTCACCCTCTGAGCTGGAAGGCCAGGACACCTGTGGAGTCCCTGTCCCCAGCATGTGCCCCTGTTAGCCTGGAGTCGATGGAGGGGACAAACGGAGGCTGCAGCCTCGCCCCTATCCCTGTGGGGACCGGGGCCCCGGCACTGCCTCCGAGGCTCTGAGTTGGGGGCTGGGGAATGACGAGAGGCAGGTAGAAGTGTTTGGTGCCATGGTTGACAAATACTAGTGACAGGCTTTCTTTTCTCTAATAGCTGCTTCTCACATGATGTAGCAGCTTTGTTTTTAAATCATACTCCCTGCTGGAAATGAAGTGAGAACAGACAGAAAATGCACGTGTGCAGACACTGCGTGTGACCCAGCAGTGACGAGGACGGGTTTGGCTGCTGGGGCCTCTACTCACTTTGCATCGGTCGAGGCCGGGACGTCCGCCCTGTGCTTCGCCCTCAGGTACACGGTCTTCATCCTCACCTCCACGCCAGGGGGCAGGGCCAGGGGGGCCGCCACGCAGAACAGGGCCAGCCGTGGGGGCAGGGCCGCGCCCGAGGGCGCCCGCCTGTTCTGTCCGAAGAGGAACTTCAGTCGCCCTTGAAACTGCATCGTCTGGTGTTTCAAAGACAGAAACAAAGGCTCGGTCACAGGGTAAATTAGCCGCTAACCGGTCAATGGCCAAAGGCCTCGGAACTCACATTCCCAAGGACGGAAAACCAACACGTCTTCCATGCCAGCCCCTGGGGACAGGCGCTCCCCACTGCCTTCGAATCATTTGGGTTTCCCTGTAACTTTCTCTAAACTCCCAGCGTGTTCTCATGTGTACACTCGTGGGCATGTGAGTCCTCGTTCAGGTGCCTGAATATCCCTGGACCAGGCCGGAGCCACCAGGCAGGCCCCTGGGAGGACGTGCTGGAGCCAACCATCTCTGAGGACTGGCCCCATAACCCTCCATTCCCAAAATGCCATCCACTCATGGCAATAAAACTCAGGCACGACTTGATTTTCCTGATCTAGAGCACATGAGTTCAGTTAGTCAGCTAAGTCACTCAGTCGTATCCGACTCTATGATTCCATGGACTGCAGCACACCAGGCTTCCCTGTCCACTATCTCCTGGAGTTTGCTCAAACTCCTGTCCATCGAGTCAGTGATGCCATCAGGCCATCTCATCCTCTGTCGTCCCCTTCTCCTCCTGCCTTCAATCTTTCCCAGCATCAAGGTCTTCTCCAATGAGTCAGCTCTTCACATCAGGTGGCCAAAGTACTGGAGCTTCAGCTTCAGCATCAGTCCTTCCAATTAATATTCATGCTTGGATTACCTTTAGGATTGACTGGTTTGATATCCTTGCAGTCCAAGGTACTCTCAAGAGTCTTCTCTAACACCACAGTTCAAAAGAATCAATTCTTTGGCACTCAGGTTTCTTTACGGTCCAACTCTCAGATCCATATATGACTACTGGAAAAACCATAGCTTTGACGAGATGGATCTTTGTTGGCAAAGTAATGTCTCTGCTTTTTAATATGCTGTCTAGGTTGGTCATAGCTTTTCTTCCAAGGACCAAGTGTCTTTTAATTTCATGGCCACAGTCACCATCTGCAGTGATTTGGGAGCCTAAGAAAATAAAGTCTCTCACTGTTTCCATTGTTTCCCCATTTTTTACATGAAGTGATGGGACCAGATGCCATGATCTCCATTTTTTGAATGTTGACTTTTAAGTCAGCTTTTTCACTCTCCTCTTTCACTTTCATCAAGAGGCTCTTCAGTTTCTCTTCACTTTCTGCCATAAGGATGGTGTCATCTGCATATCTGAGGTTACTGATGTTTCTCCCAGCAATCTTGATTCCAGCTTGTGCTTCATCCAGCCCAGCATTTTGCATGACATACTCTGCATATAAGTTAAATAAGCAGAGTGACAGTATACATCCTTGTCATACCCTTTTCTCAATTTGGAACCAGTCCATTGTTCCACGTCTGGTTCTAACTGTTGCTTGTTGACCTACATACATATTTCTCAGGAGGCAGGTGAGGTGGTCTGGTATTCCCATCTCTTGAAGAATTTTCCACAGTTTGTTGTGATCCACAAAGTCAAAGGCTTTGGCATAGTCAATAAAGCAGAAGTAGATGCTTTTCTGAAACTCTCTTGCTTTTTTGATGTTCCAGTGGATGTGGGCAATTTGATCTCTGGTACCTCTGCCTTTTCTAAATCCAGCTTGAACATCTGGAAATTCACGGTTCATGTACTGTTGAAGCCTGGCTTGGAGAATTTTGAGCATTGCTTTACTAGCGTGTGAGATGAGTGCAATTGTGTGGTGGTTTCAACATTCTTTGGCATTGCCTTTCTTAGGGACTGGAATGAAAACCGACCTTTTCCAGTCTTGTGGCTACTGCTTAGTTTTCCAAATTTGCTGGCATATTGAGTGAAGCACTTTCACAGCATCATCTTTTAGGATTTGAAATAGCTCAACTGGAATTCCATCACCTCCATGAGCTTTGTTTGTAGTGATACTTCTTAAGGCCCACTTGACTCCACATTCCAGGATGTCTGGCTCTAGGTGAATGATCACACCATTGTGGTTATCTTGGCCATGAAGTTCTTTTTTGTATAGTTCTTCTGTGTATTCTTCCCACCTCTTCTTAATATCTTCTGCTTCTGTTAGGTCCATATCATTTCTGTCCTTTATTGTGCCCATCTTTGCATGAAGTGTTCCCTTGGTATCTCTGATTTTCTTGAAGAGATCTCTAGTCTTTCCCATTTTATTGTTTTCCTCTGTTTCTTTACATTGAACACTGAGGAAGGCTTTCTTATCTCTCCTTGCTATTCTTTGGAACTCTGCATTCAGATGGGTATATATTTCATTTTCTCCTTTGCGTTTTGCTTCTCTTTTTTCTCAGCTATTTGTAAGGCCTCCTCAGCTAACCATTTTGCCTTTTTGCATTTCTTTTTTTGGGGATGGTCTTGATCACTGCTTCCTGTACAATGTCATGAACCTACGCCCATAGTTCTTCAGGCACTCTGCCTATCAGATCTAATCCCTGTAATCTATTTGTCACTTCCACTGTATAATCATAAGGGATTTGATTTAAGTCATACCTGAATGGTCTAGTGGTTTCCCTACTTTCTTCAACTTAAGCCTGAGTTTGGCAAGAAGGAGTTCATGATCTGAGCCACAGTCAGCTTCCGGTCTTGTTTTTGTTGACTGTATAGAGCTTCTCCATCTTTGGCTACAAAGAATATAATCAATCTGATTTCGGTATTGACCATCTGGTGATGTCCATGTGTAGAGTCATTTCTTGTGTTGTTGGAAGGAGATGTTTGCTATGACCAGTGCATTCTCTTAGCAAAACTCTGTTAGCCTTTGTTCTGCTTCATTTTATACTCCAAGGCTAAACTTGCCTATTACTCCAGGTATCTCTTGACTTTCTATTTTTGCATTCCGGTCCCCTATGATGAAAAGGACATCTTTTTTTGGTGTTAGTTCTAGAGGGCCTTGTAGGTCATCATAGAACCATTCAACTTTAGCTTTTCCAGCATTAGTGGTTGGGGCATAGACTTGGATGAATGTGAGAATACGGTGTGAGTTAAAAAGCCAGACGGTAACTCTGGAGTGTGTGATAAAGAAAATGAAAGCTCTCTCTCTGATGGAATGTTGATCTATAACTGAGTAAGTTCACACGACTCCAGGGTGTCCTGCCCTGAGTGGGCGAATAGTGCTGCACACTCTCCTTGCCACTTGTCAGTCAGTGTCTCCCTTCATCCCTCCATCTGTCCCTCCCTTCATCCACCCATCCGTCTTTCCATCTCCCCATCTGTGCATGAATTTATGGGGTGCACAAATGCCTGAAAGCCTCTAGGTGTGCTGGCCACGAGCTTGGTGTGGCGCAGGCCCGGCCATGCTGGGCACCTTACCTCCAGTCCTGGGGGAAAAGCCCTGGTCTGCGGCACGGGGCAGTGTCTTTGGTGTGAACATTCCCACCGTGGTTGACTTTGAGCTAAAAACCCAATATCAACTGCATGTCCTGAGGTTTCAGCAAGGGCACTCGGGGGCAGCCCCACCCGCTGGGTGTGAGCAGGCTGATCGCAGGCAGGGGGCTGGGGTGAGCCCGGGACCCGAGCTGTCCACCCCCCGTGCTCAGGGCCTCCGTCCCCACTGCAGAGCCCCTCCCTGCATGTGCAGCGACCAGCCCTGTGGTAAAACGCTGAGACCCTCCACACCGAGTCCTGCTTGTCTCCTCTGTGTGCTTCAGGCAGGGCTTCATTTCAACCTAGGTTTCAACCTCTGCCTCAGTGTTAGGTAAAATCTATCTGCATCCATGTGGAGCAAAAACCATCTTAGTTTTCCACAAAACTGAAAACCAAGTATGATCAAAACAAAAGGCCTTCTGGACAACCAACCAATCACCTGAATAAAGGATGAGCAGGGGTGCGGGGTGTCGCCCCTGCAGATGCCCCACTTCATTCTCATTAACCTCCCGTGACTCAGCCCTGCCCCATAAAGGCCAGGCTCCCTCGAGGCACCCACACACCACCCCTTGCTTTGCCAACTGCTCCCACAGACCTTGGAGCCCCGTGCGAGGCCCAGGCCTGGACTTACACAGCACCGGCCCTGCACCCACTCACTCACCAGGAGCCCCCAGGTGCCGTCCCACCCTCTCACTCACCAGGAGCCCCCAGGTGCTGTCCCCACCCTCTCTTTCACCAGGAGGCCCAGGTGCCGTCCCCACCCTCTCACTCACCAGGAGGCCCCAGGTGCCGTCCCACCCTCTCACTCACCAGGAGGCCCAGGTGCCGTCTCCACCCTCTCTCTCACCAGGAGCCCCCAGGTGCCATCCTGCACCCTCTCTCTCACCAGGAGACCCCAGGTGCCGTCCCCACCCTCTCACTCACCAGGAGCCCCCAGGTGCCATCCCCACCCTCTCACTCACCAGGAGGCCCCAGGTGCCGTCCCCACCCTCTCACTCACCAGGAGGCCCCAGGTGCCGTCCCCACCCTCTCACTCACCAGGAGCCCCCAGGTGCCGTCCAACCCACTCACTCACCAGGAGCCCCCAGGTGCCATCCTGCACCCTCTCACTCACCAGGAGGCCCAGGTGCCATCCTGCACCCTCTCTCTCACCAGGAGGCCCAGGTGCCATCCCCACCCTCTCTCTCACCAGGAGCCCCCAGGTGCCGTCCTGCACCCTCTCTTTCACCAGGAGGCCCCAGGTGCCGTCCCACCCTCTCTCTCACCAGGAGGCCCAGGTGCCGTCCCACCCTCTCTCTCACCAGGAGGCCCAGGTACCATCCCCACCCTCTCTCTCACCAGGAGCCCCCAGGTGCCGTCCCCACCCTCTCTCTCACCAGGGGCCCCCAGGTGCCATCCTGAACCCTCTCACTCACCAGGAGGCCCAGATGCCATCCTGCACCCTCTCTCTCACCAGGAGGCCCAGGTGCCGTCTCCACCCTCTCTCTCACCAGGAGCCCCCAGGTGCCGTCCCCACCCTCTCACTCACCAGGAGCCCCCAGGTGCCATCCTGCACCCTCTCACTCACCAGGAGGCCCAGGTGCCGTCTCCACCCTCTCTCTCACCAGGAGCCCCCAGGTGCCATCCTGCACCCTCTCACTCACCAGGAGCCCCCAGGTGCCGTCCCACCCACTCTCTCACCAGGAGGCCCAGGTGCCGTCCCACCCTCTCACTCACCAGGAGGCCCAGGTACCATCCCCACCCTCTCTCTCACCAGGAGCCCCCAGGTGCCATCCTGCACCCTCTCTCTCACCAGGAGCCCCCAGGTGCCATCCCACCCTCTCACTCACCAGGAGGCCCAGGTACCATCCCCACCCTCTCTCTCACCAGGAGCCCCCAGGTACCATCCTGCACCCTCTCTCTCACCAGGAGCCCCCAGGTGCCATCCCACCCTCTCTCTCACCAGGAGCCCCCAGGTGCCATCCCACCCTCTCTCTCACCAGGAGGCCCAGGTGCTGTCCCACCCTCTCTCTCACCAGGAGGCCCAGGTGCCGTCCCCACCCTCTCTCTCACCAGGAGCCCCCAGGTACCATCCCCACCCTCTCTCTCACCAGGAGCCCCCAGGTGCCGTCCCCACCCTCTCTCTCACCAGGAGGCCCTAGGTGCCATCCCCACCCTCTCTCTCACCAGGAGGCCCAGGTACCATCCCCACCCTCTCTCTCACCAGGAGCCCCCAGGTACCATCCCCACCCTCTCTCTCACCAGGAGGCCCCAGGTGCCGTCCCACCCTCTCTCTCACCAGGAGGCCCAGGTACCATCCCCACCCTCTCTCTCACCAGGAGCCCCCAGGTACCATCCCCACCCTCTCTCTCACCAGGAGGCCCAGGTGCCGTCCCCACCCTCTCTCTCACCAGGAAGCCCAGGTGCCGTCCCCACCCTCTCTCTCACCAGGAGCCCCCAGGTGCCGTCCCCACCCTCTCTCTCACCAGGAGGCCCAGGTGCCGTCCCACCCTCTCTCTCACCAGGAGGCCCAGGTGCCGTCCCCACCCTCTCTCTCACCAGGAGGCCCAGGTACCATCCCCACCCTCTCTCTCACCAGGAGCCCCCAGGTACCATCCCCACCCTCTCTCTCACCAGGAGGCCCAGGTGCCGTCCCCACCCTCTCACTCACCAGGAGCCCCCAGGTACCATCCCCACCCTCTCTCTCACCAGGAGGCCCGAGGTGCCGTCCCCACCCTCTCTCTCACCAGGAGGCCCAGGTGCCGTCCCCACCCTCTCACTCACCAGGAGCCCCCAGGTGCCATCCTGCACCCTCTCTCTCACCAGGAGGCCCAGGTGCCGTCCCCACCCTCTCTCTCTCCAGGAGCCCCCAGGTGCCATCCCACCCTCTCACTCACCAGGAGCCCCCAGGTGCCATCCTGCACCCTCTCTCTCACCAGGAGGCCCAGGTACCATCCCCACCCTCTCTCTCACCAGGAGCCCCCAGGTGCCATCCTGCACCCTCTCTCTCACCAGGAGGCCCAGGTGCCGTCCCCACCCTCTCTCTCTCCAGGAGCCCCCAGGTGCCATCCCACCCTCTCACTCACCAGGAGCCCCCAGGTGCCATCCCACCCTCTCTCTCACCAGGAGGCCCAGGTACCATCCTGCACCCTCTCTTTCACCAGGAGCCCCCAGGTGCCATCCCCACCCTCTCTCTCACCAGGAGCCCCCAGGTGCCGTCCCCACCCTCTCTCTCACCAGGAGCCCCCAGGTGCCGTCCCCACCCTCTCACTCACCAGGAGGCCCAGATGCCATCCCCACCCTCTCTCTCACCAGGAGCCCCCAGGTGCCATCCTGCACCCTCTCTCTCACCAGGAGGCCCAGGTGCCGTCCCCACCCTCTCTCTCACCAGGTGCCCCCAGGTGCCGTCCCCACCCTCTCTCTCACCAGGAGCCCCCAGGTGCCATCCCTACCCTCTCTCTCACCAGGAGCCCCCAGGTGCCATCCCACCCTCTCACTCACCAGGAGCCCCCAGGTGCCATCCCACCCTCTCACTCACCAGGAAGCCCGAGGTGCTGTCCAGCAGACAGCGCACGCGGCAGATGAAGCAGCGCGTCAGGAAGGCCGAGTACTCGGTGGGCGGGTCCACGCCCCCCTCCTGGGCCCGGAGCAGCCTCCCCAGGATGGCATCCTCTCCTGGCACAGACGGGGGGGACCAGGGAGAAAGCAGAAACACACCCTGGTCAGCAAGTTCGTGGCGCCAACAGCAGCTGTCAGCACGTAATGCACAGGCCTGCTCCAAACCGGCCTCCCTCCCTGAGCACACCCCCCACACCCCTCGTGAGTGTCCGTCAGCTCAGGATTTTGTTCTGAGCTTGTAAAGCTGGTCAGCACCTGGGGCTGTGTTTTCTCTACCTGTAGAAGGTGACCCACGCTGCCGTGTGAAGGCGTGCTGGAAACTCCTGGAACTCCTGACCACCATGGGGAACGTGTGGTAGACCCAGGACCCCGTCTCCCTGCACCGCACCCCAGGGGAGGCCACTCGCTCTGACCCCCGAGCTCTCATCTGCTCTGCCATCTCAGGGACCTGGGCGCCTGCCTGGTATGTTCACTGGGCAGGGGCTGCAGATCTGGGACACCTTGGGGGTCCTGCCCACAGGGGGCAACGTCCCCGAACAGACAGCAACATTTGGGAGACTGTTTCAGGTAAATCTCAGGTGGGTGGAGAGAATTTCCTAGAAGATGTGCATCTGAGGAGGAGTTTGCAAAACTAGAGGCAGGGTCCCTGGCTTCTGGGCCTCATACCCTACAGGGCACAGGGACGTGGCAGGAGGCACAGGGACGTGGCAGGAGACACAGGTGCCCTGGGAGCCAGAGAGCCCCCTGGGGAAGCCGCCTGAGAAGGGTGGGGGTGCAGGAGGAGGTCTCCTAGGAGGAAGGGGCGTTGACGCCACTTCAACGGGAGGAGGAGGAAAGGGGCAACTGCTGCGGAGGCATCCACGTGTTTCAGGAACCTCCGAGTCTGCGTCAGACCAGGGCCCCCAGGACTCACCTGTCTCCGAAAGCAGGGGCTGCCCACACCCTGCCTGGGGAGGGTCCATGGCCCAGTGCAGCTGCCGGCAGAAGTCCTGGCGGTCATCCACATGGATGTAGTCATAAATATTCTGGTGCATCACATCCGTCTGCAACATGAGACAGTCATTTTAGTCTTACCCCGAGGGAATGTCTGCACTGTATTCCAGGGTTAATGACCACAAACACGTCTCATCCATCTGTCAAAGGCAAGTCACACCCATGAAGAGAAAGTCCCTCCCCACAGGAGGCAACCAACACTGCCTGGACACCAGGCGTCCAGCCCACAAAGTGCCCCCCAGCCCAGGCAGTGCCTCCGGGGGCAGATCAGGGGCTCAGAGACCAAACTTCCTTTGGGATCAAGCTGTTCAAAGCTGACTCCAACCTCATCGAGCTGTGCACTTACGTCTGGTCGCCTTCTAGCCTCTTTGTTGCACGTGGATCACAAAGTTAATTAGGGAAGCACACCTTTACGGTGAGACGGGGCCAGGCTGGCATTTCCAGGCCTGACCGCTGCCCTGGCACGATGCTGCAGGGACCCTCCGACCCACAACCCTCTCTCTGGTCCTGGGTCCCCCCACCTGCTTGCGACCTAAGCACAGAGGCCACCCCACCCCCCCAGGTCCACACTGGGAACCTGCAGTCCGGGGCACCGAGGCCCTGCCTTGGGCTATGAAGGCAGACCTCAGCGGACTCGATTGTTGGTATTGCCAGAGAAAACATCCAGAGTGTCGACAAACGACGAGGCTGGTGCACGTCTTCCCACCTGAACCGCATGGCATCACCCATTACCCACCTGGGGCCCCAGTCCCACAGAAGCCCCTTGGCCCCTTCAGCTGGCCCATCGCTGAGCTTCCGTTGTTTCTCAGCTGGATAAACCAGACAGAGAAGTTCCTGAAGGGCCAGGGCTTCACAGACGAGGCACTTCTCAGGGGTGACAGGCAGCCTCACTCAGAGTGGATGGGGGGCCTCCAGGTGAGGACAGCCTCCAGGTGAGGAGAGCCTCCAGGTGAGGGGGGAGCTGCCAAGTGAGGAGGAGCCTCCAGGTGAGAGAAGCCTCCAGGTGAGGGGGAGCCTCCAGGTGGGGGGTGGGCTCCAGGTGAGGGGGGAGCTGCCAAGTGAGGGGGAGCCTCCGGGTGAGGGGGGAGCCTCCAGGTGGGGGGTGGGCTCCAGGTGAGGGGGAGCCTCCAGGTGGGGGTGGGCTCCAGGTGAGGGGGGAGCTGCCAAGTGAGGGGGAGCCTCCGGGTGAGGGAGAACCTCAAGGTGAGGGGGGAGCCTCCAGGTGAGGGGGAGTCTCAAGGCGAGGAGAGCCTCTAGGTGAGGGGCGAGCCTCCAGGTGAGGGGGGTGCCTCCATGTGAGGGGGGCCTCCAGGTGAGGGGGTGCCTCCATGTGAGGGGGGCCTCAAGGTGAGGAGAGCCTCCAGGTGAGGGGGGCCTCCAGGTGAGGGGGGTGCCTCCATGTGAGGGGGGCCTCAAGGTGAGGAGAGCCTCCATGTGAGGGGGGCCTCAAGGTGAGGAGAGCCTCCAGGTGAGGGGGAGCCTCCAGGTGAGGGGGAGCCTCCAGGTGGGGGGTGGGCTCCAGGTGAGGGGGAGCCTCCAGGTGAGGGGGGTGCCTCCATGTGAGGGGGGCCTCCAGGTGAGGGGGGTGCCTCCATGTGAGGGGGGCCTCCAGGTGAGGGGGGTGCCTCCATGTGAGGGGGGCCTCCAGGTGAGGGGGGTGCCTCCATGTGAGGGGGGCCTCCAGGTGAGGGGGGTGCCTCCATGTGAGGGGGCCTCAAGGTGAGGAGAGCCTCCAGGTTAGGGGGGCCTCCAGGTGAGGGGGGTGCCTCCATGTGAGGGGGGCCTCAAGGTGAGGAGAACCTCCATGTGAGGGGGGCCTCAAGGTGAGGAGAGGCTCCAGGTAAGGGGGGAGCTGCCAAGTGAGGAGGAGCCTCCAGGTGAGGAGAGCCTCCAGGTGAAGGGGGCCTCCAGGTGAGGGGGGGTCTCCAGGTGAGGGGGGAACTGCCAGGTGAGGTGGGAGCTGCCAAGTGAGGGGGGCCTCCAGGTGAGGGAGAACCTCAAGGTGAGGGGGGAGCCTCCAGGTGAGGGGGAGTCTCAAGGTGAGGAGAGCCTCCAGGTGAGGGGGGAGCCTCCAGATTAGGGGGGCCTTCAGGTGAAGGGGGGCCTCCAGGTGAGGGGCGAGCCTCCAGGTGAAGGGGGCCTCCAGGTGAGGGGGGGTCTCCAGGTGAGGGGGGTGCCTCCATGTGAGGGGGGCCTCCAGGTGAGGGGGGTGCCTCCATGTGAGGGGGGCCTCAAGGTGAGGAGAGCCTCCAGGTGAGGGGGGCCTCAAGGTGAGGAGAGCCTCCAGGTAAGGGGGGAGCTGCCAAGTGAGGAGGAGCCTCCAGGTGAGAGGAGCCTCCAGGTGAGGAGAGCCTCCAGGTGAAGGGGGCCTCCAGGTGAGGGGGGGTCTCCAGGTGAGGGGGGAACTGCCAGGTGAGGTGGGAGCTGCCAAGTGAGGGGGGCCTCCAGGTGCATGAGAATCAGAAGGTGCTGCAGGTGTCAACAGGAGGGAAGGTCTGGTGTGTCCCCGTCCACCATGAGTGGTCCTCATTCAGGCCAGAGCCTGGACAACACTGACCAAGGACTACAACACTTCTGACCTCAGCGTCTGCTTCTTTCTGTGAAAACTGTGTCTGAGACTGTGGGAGAGAATGTGCGTACATGATTAGAGTTTAGCCTTCGAGTTATAATCACACTCATTTTCTACCTTCCTGCGGTTACCTGTTTGACATTCAAGGACCACAGTTATAGGAAGAGCCCGAGGAGAGATGGTGCCCGCCTGGAGGGCCCCCTCACCTGGAGGCCCCCCTCACCTGGAGGCCCCCCTTCACCTGGAGGCCCCCCTCACCTGGAGACCCCCCTCACCTGGAGGCTCTCCTCACCTGGAGGCCCCCCTCACCTGGAGGCTCTCCTCACCTGGAGGCTCTCCTCACGTTGAGAGTCCCCCTCACCTGGAGGCTCTCCTCACCTGGAGGCCCCCCTCACCTGGAGGCTCCCCCTCACCTGGAGGCTCTAGCATCACAAGGGCATGTCCCATAATGAAGCTTTCCTCATGCAATTTTGTGACGCAGGCCTAACACAGAGTGTGAAACGTGCCCACGTCATAGTCACGCAGCTTCCCCACCCAGTCAGGACTCAGAACCCTTCCCCCCGCCCTCCACGGAGGCGACCCGGGCACAGCCCCCGCACCCCGGGCTGGTTCTGGTCTCAGGTGGAGCCCCGTGTCCTCTGTGTCCCCCCTCGGTGGTGATGCGGCCCCTGGCGCCTGAAGCAGTGGTGCAGCCCCTCGGTGGTGTGGCTTTCTGCCGTGAGACACACTGCCGCTGGGGCGTCCCTCCCTGCGTCCGGGCCTCTCACCGGCGCGGCTGCGGTGTCTTCCAGGGTGGTTCTGCTGGGCCCGCACCCCGGGCTGGAACGTAGGCCACGGGGTGGAGGGCCTCAGCCCCAGCGGAGCAAGCCACCAGCCGCCAGAGTGAGCGTGCGAGCACTCTCCCCCGGCCGTGTGCGAGCCCAGGCGCCCTGCGTTCTCTGTGAGCCACGTGGAACGGTGTCTGTTCCACGTTTAATCAGCGCGTCACGAGGACTACTGAAGGGAGCGCCTACCCACAGATTCACTGGTTTTCAGATGAGCGTGTGCGCCGCGCCGCCGGCTGCTGTCCTCCTCTCGACTCTCCACGGGGCCGCCGGGCTGCCGTGTCACCTCCTCCGCCCTCCCAGACGGCAGTCCTGTCTCGGGTGGACTCCTTGGCAGACATCTTCCCCACTGCTGGGCCTGCCGCCCTCCTCATGGGTCTGACGCAGCTGGATCCGTCAGTCTCTCTTCATGGTCAGGGCTTTAGGGTTTCTGTCCTCTCTGTGTGCTTGTTCCTCAGATACCTCCTGACTCTGCCCTGTTAACTTCTAGAAACTTCCACCATCTACCCTTGACACTGCATGGTGTGAGGTAGCTGTCAAGATTCACTTTTTTCAAGAGGATTCAGTCCATGAAGCACCATTTACTGACAAGACCAGCACCTGCCTACCTCCTGGCAACATCAGTTTCATTGTGAACCCACATCTGCTGTGACCCTCCCATCTCCTGAGGCCATGTGTCCTCTTTGCAGTGACCCCACTGGTCTCAGCCACTGAGCTGGCCATAAAGTGTTGTGTCTGGGACTGTATGTCCCAGAGATCATCAATGCCCTTCCCCATGGTGCTGGATTCACTCAGATCTCTGCATCTCCAATTAGCTTGTCCAGTTTCCTCCCAGAAAAGCAACACAGTCTTTGTTCTTTGTTGTTGTTGTTTAGTTGCTAAGTTGGATCCAACTCTTAGAGACACTATGGACTGTAGCCCATCAGGCTCCTCTGTCCATGGGATTCCGCAAGGAAGAGTACTGGACTGGGTTGCCATTTCCTTCTTCAGGGATCTTCCTGACCAAGGGATTGAACCTGTGTCTCCTACATTGGCAGGTGGATTCTTTTCCACTGAGCCACCAGGGACACCAGTTATTCTTTTTTTTTTGGTCCAGTTATTCTATAACTTGATCTGTCACCTTTATGATAATAATATTAAGTCCTCCAGTTCACAGCATATCTTTCCATTTTCTTGTTGTTCAGTTGCTAAGTCATGTCTGACTCTTTGCGAGTTGGACTGCAACTCGCCAGGCCTCCCTGTCCATCACTGTCTCCTGGAACTTGCTCAAACTCATGTCCATTGAGTCGGTGATGCCATTCAACCATCTCCTCCTCTGTCCTCCCCTTCTTGTCCTGCCTCAATCTTTCCCAGCATCAGGGTCTTTTACAATGAGTCAGCTTTTTGCATCTGGTGGCCAAAGTATTGGAGCTTCAGCTTCAGCATCAGTCCTTCCGATGAATATTTGGGACTAATTTCCTTTAGGACGGACTGGTTGGATCTCCTTGCTATCCAAGGGACTCTCAAGAGTCTTCTCCAAAAAAAAAAGAAAAGAAAAAAAAAGAGTCTTCTCCAGCACCACAATTAGAAAGCATCAATTCTTCGGTGCTCTGGATCTTTAATTTCTTTAAGTAATGCTTTATATTTTCTGAGTGGAAGTACTACGTATAATTTGCTTGACTCATTACTAGGAATTTGGTGTTTTTCCATCCTTCATTAATGGATGACATTTTCCCCTCCATGGTTTTGATTAAAGGAAAAAAACTGTGCTGATGTCTGAGAGCTGGATATTTCTCACTGTAAACTAATAAATAGGCACTGTGATCCACGTATTCCCTGGTGAGTTTCAGCAGAACCCCAGGGGCACCCTGCTTCCCCATTTGCTGTCTCCACACACATCAGATAATCCACGAAAGGGACACAAAGGGTGGGTCTGTAGCTTAACCGACACAGGAGGAGATCCCCTTGGAGAAGGACAAGCAGAGCTGGAGGAAGCATGGCAGATCCGGCGACTCTGAAGCTGTTAGACAGAGAAGCCTGGCGCATTACTGTGCATGGAGTCAGTCACAAAGAGTTGGACACAAATGAACGACTAACACACACACACTTAAATGTCGACGCTTTCTGGGATAAGAATACCGAGGTCGTAGCGGTTAGCCTGGCCTCCCTTCGTCTTTCCTAATGTCTAGGGTTTGATCCCTACAAACGAGGTCAAGAAGAATAAATCGTGGGGTAGTGAGAAGCAGGGGAGAGTGGCGTGTCAGCTGTTCACAGAGCACAGAACAAGCCCACCCTGGTCAGGTCAGATCGTCTCCATCTTGGCTCTGAACCACCCTCCGCAGAGTTGAGGATGAAAGCACAGCCGTTTGCACAAACAGCTCATTCCATCAGTGACCATCTTTGCCTTTTGCTCGGAGAGCATGTATATCCGCTCTCCATGCTGAGGGTCCTTAACCGCTTCCTGCCACAGGCCCTCACATCCGGCCTGATTCACCTGGGGACGGGACGCCCCCACTGCTGACCTCGGAGAGAACGGACAACGTCTTGTAGCAGCAAAGGCGAGGGCAACTAAAATATACATCTAAAGCCTATTTGTTCATCTCAAAGAGCACTGAAACAGGAGATACTGAACCGATGCACTCAGGTTGCCACAGGAAACGGCTGGTTCCTGACTTTTTGCAAAGCATTTTGCCCAAGAAGCTGACAATAATAGCACAGGGCTGGTCTAATATGTTCATGAAACGTTTTTCATAAACTAGAGGCACCGCTTGATTTAATGGCATTTGGAAACAATTTCCTTATAATAAAAGGCAAAACTATTTTTTTTTTTAACTTCTAACACTTCAGAGGAAATAACCGAGTTCCAAGAAAACAAAAGCTCCAATTAGCAAGTTCAGACCTGGAATCAGGTCTCTACAGGGCACCTGCATTTCCCACGGAAACCAAACCCGGGGATGGGACCTTCAAATTACATAGCCAAAGGCAGGTGATGTGGGTATCCAGAGAATTTACAGAGCAACTCAGGCGACAGCGACTGGGACAAAAAAACAAATATTCTCAGCGGGCACACGCGACCACATTTTTCTAGAGCCGGGTGCTGCACACGACGCCCAGGGGCTCGAGGAAGGCTTCATTACCTGGGGCTCGAATCGTCGCGCCCACTGCCTCGCTCCGCCCCGGCGAGCCTGGGAGAGCGGCGGCGCTCGAGAGAGGCCAGCGCGGCCCCCGCGGAGCGACTGCGGAAGGAGGCTGCGCAGGACGCAGGCAGGTGGAGAGGCGCGGAGCGAGAGCCTGGAGGCCCGTCCTGCAGCTCGCTGGGGAGGCCGGCGGCTAAGGGGCGGAGCCGGATGCCCTCAGGCCGCCCGACCTCCAGGCTTCTCCCCCAACGCCCGTGGCTTCTGGCCCATCGGGGAATATTTTCGGTATTAACTGCACGTCTGGCGCCCCATCTCCTTCCTCTCTGGGCTCTGACCCGGGTGCTGCGAATGTTTTGCCTGGCCCGCAGAGTGCCGGGCTCTGCGAGGTTGGTCTCCAGCCTCTAGGCAAGCACGCCAGCGGGCGGGCCTCTTGGTGGACTGTCCACCTCCCAAGGGCCACCGTGGCGTTGCCAGCAAGGGAGTCTCCAATGTGCTCTTGGCCCAACTCAGCCCCGCTGCCCTCCACCCGCTGTGCCTGCACCTCTCTCTGGCTCACCAGGCGTTTTTAAACTCCCAGTCATTCTCTACAGTCAAGTTTTTGAATCGCTGCACGCTCTGCCCCCGGATGAGGCCCTGAGCATAGACACACTATATTCTGGGTTTTTCCAGGTTCTGTCTTGTTCTCTCTCAAATCCACCTGTTTTTATCTTGAATTCCTCAGGGAAGGTGCCAGGACTGGCAGTTGGTGACTTCCTGGAGTTTATAACCCTGTGCTGTGAGTTCCCTGCAGAGGGCTGGGGGGGGGGGGGCGGGGAGGCAGCTGTTTTTTTTGGTGGGGGAAGTGGCCACACTTGTGCCCAGCTTGTCCTCAGACCCCAGCCGTCCAAGCTGCAGAATCAGGAGGTTTCACCAGCAGCATGTGATCTGGGCTGGGATTGCTCATGAGACTTTTCCCTCCCAGAGGCCAAGCCAGGTCCCACTTCCTTTCCTGGGGCTTCTCACTGAGCTGCCTCCTTGGATCCACGGTTGGATCCATCCCGCTCTGCCCTGAGGTCTGGAACCGTCCAGGCTGTGCTGACCCGGGGCAACACTCCGGGCGAGCTATCTGCACACCAGCAAGGGCGGTTCTGGAGCACACTGCGTCCTGACTGTACCTTGCATCTGGGGTTTTAGACACCAAAGTGCAGCTCAGGACAGGTCCCTGCCCTGGCCCTGACCAGCCTCTCACATCGCGGGGCGTAGAGGTTGGGCTGCAGGCGGCACAAGCCGCTGCTTTGAGACTAGGGACACCCAAGACACCGTCATGCCTCTCGCCGTGACCCTGAGCCCCAGACAAAGCCGGGTGTGCAAAATCTCACCTGACAAAAGCTCAGTGATTTAAAAAAAGAAAAAGTTTGATTTTAGAAATGTTTTAAACCTTGAAGTTTAAAAGTTCAAGGTCCCTGGTGGCTCAGACGATAAATAATCCACCTGCAACGCAGGAGACCCGGGTTTGATCCCTGGGTTGGAAAGGAATGGCAACCCACCCCAGTATTGTTGCCTGGAGAGTTCCCCGGACAGAGGAGCCTGGCAGGCTGCAGTCCATGGAGTCGCAGAGTCAGACATGACTGAGCGACTAAGCACACATGCACACCTCCAAGGTGGCGGGACCGAACCGCAGCAGACAGGCGCTGTGCTCACCTGGTGGAAGCCCAGGTAGTCCACAATCGTGGCCGACGCGTAGAAGATCATCCCTTCGGCGCTCACCACCAGAGCGAAGCCGTGGAGGGACTAGAACAAACAGAACACCGACATCACTCACATGACATCACTCACAGTAAAAACATCAAGCATTGGTTCTGTTTGGCTTTTCAACCATTTCTTCCCTGTTTTGTGGTCTGAATTCATAACCTCCAGAAAGGCCTGCTTTTAATTTTTTTATGACTGTTCACAAAATGTCCTGAGCCAGCAGGTGACTTGAGAACTTGGTCACCGTTTATAAGGCTCATGACTTGGGTTCTTTTTCTAATGATTATCAAACGGTGTTTTATAAAATACAAACATCACCATGGTGAGATGAGACACACCAGTACCTGAAACACAACAGGAACATTTACACCACAAGGTGGATTTTCCCATTCATGCATCCTCTTCTATACCATGTTCTGGTTTTTCTAGGAATTTTTATCATGAAAAAATGTTGAGCTCCAACAAGGGCTATTTTTGTATCTACTGAAATCATCACATAGATTTTCTTTAGTCTATTAAGGTAGTGAGTTACACTGACAGATTTTCTGATGGTGAATCATTCTTGCCTATGGAGGGTAAATCTTTTTGGATCATCATTTCTAATGCGTTCTTGGAACTGATGCATTTCACTTGGGAAATATTCATCTATATTCAAGGAAATCCACCTATAAGCTTCTCTCTTCATTTTGGTGTTCAAGCGTACCTAATCATCAAACATCCTTTCCTTCTTTTTTCATTTTCTATGCCCACTTATTTATGATGAGGAAAACGTATTCCTAGAACATCTGGTTCACCTCACCTCTAAGATTCTCCAGTCTGGGTGCATTTTGGGGAGATGGTGAGTGAAAAGGGGGTGAATTTTGGTACCATGTTGGTTTATTTTATGGCTGTTAGTATATTTAGGATTTTTTCTTATATCAGTTATGGCATCTTAAAATTTTTTCCAGTAATGCATCCATTGCATGTTTATTTTAAATTTACTCATGTATGTTATTCACAATATCTTAATGATTGTTAAATCTGTTATATCTGTAATTATTGTGGCATGCACTGTATTGCGGAGAAGGCAATGGCACCCCACTCCAGTACTCTTGCCTGGCAAATCCCATGGACTGAGGAGCCTGGTAGGCTGCAGTCCATGGGGTCGCTAAGAGTCGGACATTACTGAGCGACTTCACTTTCACTTTTCACTTTCATGCATTGGAGAAGGAAATGGCAACCGACTCCAGTGTTCTTGCCTGGAGAATCCTAGGGACGGGGGAGCCTGGTGGGCTGCCGTCTATGGGGTCGCACAGAGTCAGACACGACTGACACGACTTAGCAGCAGCAGCAGCCGAAGCAGCACTGTGTTGGGCTCGATTTAACATTTCCCTTTTTTTGAAAAGCAGGCCCTCCAGCCCCTCCTGCACAGGCTTCCCAGAGCCATGGCTAGTGAGGGTGCATGAGGGACCACAGGCACGCGAGCATGTGATCAATGCCCACCCTGTCAGCCAGCTGTCTGCCTGCCTGTCTGGCATCCTCCTCATCCTGATAAGAAAGACAGCGGTCCAGGGAGTGTGGGTCCTGGTAAGTGTCAGACACCAAGTGTGGAATGGCTCACTCAGTTGTGTATCACCTCCTGCAGGCAGGCAGGAACAGCCTGATTTTCTGGGGCCAGGGCACAGCGGGAGGTTAGGGAGGGTTAGGCAGCTGGACGATGGAGTTCATGATATCTCAGCTGGAATCTTTAACATGCAGACATTTAGAGACTTTACGTTAACATCCATGAAGTTTGCAGCTATCAGCAATACATTATAATATTAATTTCTCTTAATTCTTGACCACACTGGGTACTCTTTCTTTTTTTTAATTTTTGCCAATTTTATGTGATAAATTATTTTACCATCATTATAATTGTCATTATTTGATTATTAATGAGATTGAAAAACATCTCACACATTCATTGGTAACTTGTATTTCTTTTTTGGTAAAATACCTGTGCATGTTATGTGCTGATTTTTCTATTAGGATTTATAAATATCAATTTCTAGGAGCTTTCAAATTACTGGTATTGAAGACTTCTAGGGAGCCCAGGATAATGTTGCTGTTCAGTCTCTAAGTCATGTCTGACTCTTTGCAACTCCATGGACTATAGCCCACCAGGCTCTTCTGTCCTCCACTCTCTGCTGGAGCTTGCTCAAATTATGTCCATTCAGTCAGTGATGCCATCCAACCATCTCATCTTCTGTCGTCCCCTTCTCCGATTGCCCTCAGTCTTTCCCAGCATCAGGGTCTTCTCCAATGAGTCGGCTCTTCCCATCAGGTAACCACAGTATTGGAGTTTCGGCATCAGTCCTTCCAATGAATATTCAGGACTGATTTCCTTTAGGATGGACTGGTTTGATCTCCTTGTAGTCCAAGGGACTCTCAAGAGTTTTCTCCAATACTATAATTTGAAGGCATCAATTCTTCGGTGCTCAGCTTTCTTTATGGTCCAACTTTTACATCCATACATGACTACAGCTAGCAAAACCATAGTTTTGATTATACAGACCCTTCTCAGCAAAGTGACATCTCTGCTTTTTAATAGACTGTCTAGGTTTGCCATAGCTTTTCTTCCAAGGAGCACGTGTCTTTTAATTTCATGACTACAATCAAGGTCCACAGTGATTTTGGAGCCCATGAGAAGAAAATCAGTCACTGCTTTCACTTTTCACCTTCTCTTTGCCATGAAGTGATAGGATAATGGCAGCCACCTAAATCCAAAGCCTCACACCTCTAAAAACTGATGGAGAGCCACAAGGACAGGTTCAACTTTACAACTCTGCACCCTGTCATGATGAGGACTCACAGAGGTGATGAACTGCAAGTTACATATAGTCAGAAAAGGCAACGTAAAGTCCCAGTAAGCTTAGGATGATGGCTTCAAAAGAACAAAGTGTGTAATTCCTCCTCAAGAAACTAGAGACAATTAAACACAACGTAAGAAGAAGGATAAAGCACAAGCTGGAATCAAGATTCCAGCATCAACATCAATAACTTCAGATATGCAGATGACATCACCCTTTTGGCAGAAAGTGAAGAGAAACTAAATGGCCTCTTGATGAAAGTGAAAGAGGAGAGTGAAAAAGTTGGCTTAAAACTCAATATTCAGAAAACTAAGATCATGGCATCTGGTTCCATCACTTCAAGGCAAATTGGGGAGAAAATGGAAACAATGACAAACTTTATTTTCTTGGACTCCAAAATCACTGTTGATGGTGACTGCAGCCGTGAAATTCAAGACGCTTGCTCCTTGCAGGAAAAGCTATGACCAACCTAGACAGCACATTAAAAAGCAGAGACATCGCTCTGCTGACACAGGTCCACCTAGTCAAGGCTACTGTTTTCCAGTAGTCATGTATGGATGTGAGATTTGGACCATAAAGAAGGCTGAGCACTGAAAAATTGACGCTTTCGATCTGTGGTGCTGGAGAAGACTCTTTAGAGTCCCTTGGACTGCAAGGAGATAAAACAAGTTGATCCTAAAGGAAATCAGTCCTGAATATTCATTGGAAGGACTGATGCTGAAGCTGAAGCTCCAATATTTTGATACCTGATGCAAAGAGCCAACTCATTGGAAAAGACCCTGATGCTGGGAAAGATAGAAGGCAGGAGGAGAAGGGGACAACAGAGGATGAGATGGTTGGATGGCATCACCGACTCAATGGACATGAGTTTGAACAAACTCTGGGAGATAGTAATGGACAGGGAAGCCTGGTGTGCTGCAGTCCATGGCGTTGTAAAGAGTTGGACACAGATGAGAGACTGAACAACAGCAAGAAGAAGGAGAGAAAAATTAAAAATAAAAGAAGAAACAATGAAAATAGTTAAATAATAAAGTTTCAGATACTATTTAAATAAATAATAATAGTTTTTAAATAGTTAAATAATAAAGATTGTTACAAAGTGGAAAATTGCTTCTTTAAAAAGACTAATAAAATTGATAAACTCCTAGAAGATTTATCAAGAAAAATACAAGTATCAAGAAAAATACAAGTTACTGACACAAGGAGTTTTAAAGAAAACATCATTACACACCCTACAGACATTAAAAATACAGTAAGGGAATATTAAAAATGATACTCAAGAAATTAAATAATTTACCAGAATTAACCCATTAGAGATAGAAACCTTGAAGCACAATTTCTGTAGAAGAAACAAAGTTATCAAGGCACTAACCCAGGATACTGTGCCTGACCCAGATGTTTTAAAAATCTGTAAAGATCAGATAATAACAATGCCCCCTAAATTGTCTCAGAAATAGAAAGTGAAAATTCCCTAATTCTTAAGAACTATAACATGGACAGTTAATTCTAGTAAGGAAATTCAATAAAAATAAAATTACAGACTTTGACTACTGATTCCAAATATGCTAGATAAAATATTAGCAAACAGATTTCAATTTCACATTATGAAAAGAATACATCATGACCAAGAGACTTTATTCCAGGAATGCAAGTTTGGTTCAATATTGGGAAATTCATTAATATAATACACCAAGCTTATCTATCCCTGGGTCAGGAAGATCCTCTGGAGAAGGGCATATGTACCCACTCCAGTATTCTAGCCTGAAAAATCCCATGGACAGAGAAGGAAGCCTGGATGGCTACAGTCCATCTGACTCCAAAGTCAGACATGACTAAGCAACTAACCAGACAAGCAAGTTCATAATTCTAAGGAGAAAAATCTATAACTTTTGCCATCTTCATGGATGGCAAAAAAAGCTTTCAACAAAATTCAGCACTCATTTCTGATTAAAAAACACTCAAGAAAATAGGAATTATGGATACATGTTAACATGATAATGCGTGTGAACATGTTGTGTGTGTGTGTGTCCATGTTATTCCTAAAGTAGCAACTTAATTAATGAGGAAAAATGCTGTGGGTTTCCAGGAGGATCAGGAAGCGAGGCAAGGATGCCCGTGACATCCCACTCCAGGGGTTTGTAAACTATAGTGCCCCTCCATTCCACCTAACACTGTGGCCAAACCTGTTCATTTACATATGTGTACTATGAGAGC